AATACCGTGGTACTTTTGTTAAAAAAAAAAAAAAAAAGAACAAGAATTGGTTGGTTTGCTCTATCTGTGGGTTATTTTGTTCTTTTCTCAGGGCTCTTGCTTCCCCAGACCACCATGAGGCCGCCTTCTCACCCAGAGGGTTTCGGCACGAATGCTGCATGTTTACAGAGGTCAGGCCTTTGCTGGCCACTTCTCACACCAGCTTTCCTTCCCTGTCTCCTCCTTCACATCGCCCTGCTGTGTTGTCCTGGCAGTGCTTATTACCACCTGAAATGGTCAACTTTTCTCATTCAATGCAGGCCTGTACTAACACTGACTCATCAGGCTCTGGATGGAGGATACAGTGGCAACACAATCATCTTTTAACAGATTTTATATTTGTCAGAGTTAGAATGATTACCAAACTTACCTTCTTAGGCAATTCAAGCTTCTATAATGATAAAGCTGATCCCCACCACCTTCTCACCCTGCAGAGCTGAGTCCCTTTGCCCACCCAACAACTTCCTTTCCCTCCCTCAGCCCCTGGAACCTACTATTCTTCCCATTTCTAGGAAGTTCACTACTTAGATGCATCACAAAGTTGAAACCCCAGAATCAAAGTGCCTGTCCTTTTGTGGCTCAGCTCTCTCTCGGTTTTTGTTGTCACATGAGGTATTTCACCTATGTGTGCTGTTGACAAACATGGAGGCCTGAAGTAGGCCAGTTTGGTCTACTCATCAGGGGCATCTGGGGAGTGAGCCAGTGTCTACAATATCTATCTCCATTTGTCTCCCTGCCTTTCAAACAAAATGAAGATAAATTAAAACAATCAAGAGAATTATGATAATATGAAAAAGTTTGTGCAGCTCTCTATTTCTGGGTATTTTTTTTATTGTAACAATGTTCAGAATCATAAATAGTGGAAGGATACATGTATTTGTATACTTTAAAATTTATTTTTTATTTGAGATAGAGTTCTCATTTACTGATCAACTCCCCAAAGATGTGCCATCAGTGGGGAGTTGTGCCAGGACAGAAGCCAGGAGTTCAGTTCGTATCCCTCTTGTGGGGGCAGCAAATTGGTTACTTGAGCCATCACCTGTTGCCTCCTGGGGATGTTTTAGTAGGAAGCTGGAGTCAAGCAGCCAGAGCTGGATGCTGGATCAAGGTACTGGGATCGATGTGTGATACAGACACCACAACTAGAGCCTTAAATGCTAATCTGAGCACCTGCTCCTCTGAAGTAATTTGACTTACATTTTCCTAGGGACTCATCACGTTGAATTTCTTTTTGTGTGCTAGGAGCTGTTGGTACATCCTGTTTGGAGAATTGTCTATTCCAGTTCTTTGCTTATTTGAAAAACTAGATTGTCTTTTATTGCTGAGTGATGAGTTCTTTGTGCATCCCGAACAGTGCGCCTTTATCAGACAAATGATTTGAAAACGTTTTTTCCATCTTCTGTGTTGCCTTTTCATTTTTTTGGGTAGTATCCTTTGAAGCACCAAAGTTTGATGAAGTTGTTTTCTGTTTCTTTCTCCCACGTCAGTTGTCTGTGTGTATGATGTCCTTCCTGAGAAGCCAGTGCTTGAATCTGGCTCATGGATATTAACACCTGCTTCCTTGTAGGGGCTGCACAGTGTTAATCCTCACACATTTGACTCATTTTGAGCTCTTGCTTGAATAGGTTGGGACGTGAAGTCCAACTTCATTCTTTTGCACATGGCCCCATTAATCGTACATGTCTCTAAGCCAGTGTCACACACTCTTCACTGCAACAGCTTTGTAATAAAGCTCTGAAGTCAGAAAAGTACAGACTCTATGACATTTTCTTTTTCATTCTTTTTTAAGGTTGTTTTTGCTTCTTTGGGTCCTTTGTATTTCCTTGCAAATGTCAGGATCACTATGTCAATTTCTGCAATCAACACAGCTGAAATTTTAGAAGGAATTGTGTTGGATCTGTGGAATAATTTGGGGCTTGTTACTGTCTTACCCAAGCAAGCCTTCCAAGTGGTGAGCAGGGGATGCTGTTTCACACATGTCTGATTAAGGCTCTTTCAATGGTGCTCTGCTTACCATGAAAGCCTTACTCCTCTCATGACTGTAATCAAATTGTAAACGCGATTGTTTTCTTCATGACATATAAGAAACACTGTGGTAGTCTAGTGGCTAAAGTCCTTGCCTTTCATTTTATTGGGATCTTATACGGGTGCTGGTTCTAATCCCAGCAGCCCTGCTTCCCATCCAGCTCCCTGACTGTAGCCTGGGAAAACAGTCGAGGACGGCCCAAAGCCTGGGGACCCTGCACCCATGTGGGAGACCCAGAAGAAGCTCCTGACTCCTGGCTCCTGGCTTCGGATTGGCTCAGCTCAGGTCGCTGTGGCCACTTCAGGAGTGAACCAGTGGAAGATCTTTGTCTCTCTTTCTCTCTGTATGCTTGACTTTGCAATAAAAATAAAACCACTCGATTTTGCATATTGATCTTGAAGTGCTGCTTGTTTCCTAAATTCAATAGCTTTTGTGTATGTATGTCCTTTTGTGTATTCTACACACAAGATCATGTTACCTGTGGCAGACAGAGGCAGTACCAACCTTCCTTGAGGATCACACTAACAATCGTTTTTTCCAGAGTAATTCTCTTTCACCCATTTTTTGAGTATCTTATCATGAAGGTCTTGGGTGTTATCAAATGCCTTTTCTTTGACTATTGAGTTGGTTGCACAAACTTTCCCTATTTTTAAGTCTTATTTTTAAATTGCTTTTTTTTTTTTAATTGGAAAGTCAGAGAGGAGGAGAGACAGAGAGGAAGATCTTCCATCTGATGATTCACTCCCCAAGCGGCCTCAACGGCTGGAGCTGAACCAATCAGGAGCCAGGAGCTTCTTTTGGGTCTCCCATGCGGGTGCAGGGTCCCAAGGCTTTGGGCGATCCTTGACTACTTTCCCAGGCCACAAGCAGCGAGTGGATGGGAAGCAGGGCTGCTGGGATTAGAACCGGTGCCCATATGGGATCCTGGGCGTGCAAAGCAAGGACCTTAATCGCTACGCTATCTCGCTGCGTACTAAATTACTTTAAATTTTACTTATTAACATATAATGTCCTACCTAGTAAGGTATGTGTGAGTCCACACTGACCGTTTCCTGTCTGGTTCTGAGCTTTCCTTGTTGTTCTCTGTCTATCTATTCTAACGTGTGTGTGTGTGTGTGTGTGTGTGTGTGTGGGGGGGGGGGGAAGGCTCCAGAGCGACTCTGATGGTCATTGCAAGAGGGTGTGGGGATCCAAAGTTGGAACTCAGTAAGGACCTGAGAAAGCTCCTCTCCCTAGTCCTGAAGGAAGTTTACTGTTCTGTTTCTGCGGACCGCTCAGGGTTCCTGGTTGTTCCGATGACCTTGGATCATCACAGAGGAAGGATTTGGGCTTCTTCCATTCCATGTGGTACTCCTCACTAAGGTATTGAAGATTTCTCTGCACATCCCTCCTAAAACTGTTACGCACCTCGATTGTTGACATATGCCTTGTTATAACCCAGTTTAGACCATCCTAAAATCTGCCAAGTTCAGCAAAATTATGCTTCAACACTAAAAAATGGTAAATACTAAAATGAAAACAGACATGAGACAGCTGAATAATACCCTATAGCCATTTTAAGGTGTGTAGCAGCCAGTTCTGTGTATAGACTAAAATTGAAATGTCAATGAAGTAGTCACAAGATGTGGTTAGGAACTTGCATTTTTTTAAAACATATTTGTTACTGAATACCATGTCAATTAATTCCATAATGTTGTAAATTGTCGTTGATGTTATGTTGTGGCTTTAAATTGATGGAGATGATATTCAGCCAGCTCTGCCTTCAGACCAGAGAAACCGTTGAATTTACCTGGACAATAAGATGCTGGACGCTATGCTTGGTATACGCTTGCAATGAAAGAATCTTGACTGAATTTGAAATGCAACAAGGTGGAGGAATCCATCATGAGGGGTGGGTATGGGGAGGGGTTGGGGGAATTCCAGAGCCTATAAAACTATGTCACATAATGCAATGTAATTAATAAATATATATATATTATTTTAAAAACATAATGTTTCCACTGTTGTGGCATTTACTGCAATGTTCAATACATACACATAGTGCAAAATTCTCAAACAGAACTCAGAGTGTCCATCTTACCATTCAGAGTCGATTTCTTCCCATTCTTTATGTGAAATCTTCTGTTGTGAGCTACAATCATCCTGCCATGCCGTGATGTACTGGAACATTCCACCTGACTCTTGGGGCCTTACTCAGCCCCCCCCCCCAACTCCCCTCCTGCTCAGGCTACCATGTAGATAAACCACACCTGTGCACTTGGGTTCCAAAGGAGGAGAGAACACGCCGCGTTTGTTTCCCACTTAACGTGAGCATCTCCAGGGCCTTTGATTTACTGCCAGTGTCAGGATTTCCCTCTCAAGGCTGAGCAGTTTCACCAGGAGTGTATTCTACACGTCCTTTATCAACTCAGCTCCTTGGCTGGCTCCTCTGCTGGCATGCATGTCCCTTATAAGGTGAGCTTCCTTCCCTTGGTCTCTCTCCAGACGGCTGCAGCAAAGCCCTTATGCCTGCCTCCCCCTTTCCCCCTTACAGCGGAAGTCAGCCACAGCCCCTGAGGGTTTTGGCCATTCCTGTCTCTGATCTAAGTTGTTCCTGGCGCAACCTGCCAGGCTCCTTCGCACCAGGCTCACCGGCAATACCCAGGTCGCCGGTGCACACTGCGGCCTCGGCCGGCACTTCCTGACTACATGCACAGTCTCTCCATGAGTCCAGAACTTTCTTTCATAAACCCCGAGGGTCTCGCTGACGCCTGGGCCCCAGCGCTCTCTGGAGGAGCCGGGCGTGGCCGCGGCCGCCGAGCCCGCCCCGAGCCCGCCCCGAGCCCGCCCCGGCCGACCCGGGCGGAGCACTTGGGCCTAGGGGCGGCGCCGGCCGCCAACTTAACTCGGCCTCGCGGGGCGGGAGCGAGCAGCGCAGTACGCGCCCGCGCCCCGCAGCATGCAGCACGTCCGCCCGCTGGCCGCGCTGTGCGGCGCGCTGCTGTGCGCCTCGGGACTCCTGGCCGCCTCGGGTGAGTGCGCGTCGCCCGCTCCCCGAGCCCGGCAGGGATGGGGGCGCGCTCTGGGTGGGGCCGTCAGGGACGGGGCGCACACGGCAAGGAGAGGCCAGCTGCGTGGCCTCCGGTCCCGCGAAGACGCGGCTCTGCCTGCAGCTGCGTGCCCCGGGACCCCGGCCCTTCCAGCCGACTTCGCCGGCGGCCTCCCCGCCCTTCCCGCGGAGGAACCTCATTGGGCGTTTGCGCCCCCGCCCGCGTGTCCACGCGCGGCTGGAGAAAGCAGGGCGGGAGGCGGGGGAGGCACCAAGAGGAAGGGCGCCTGGTGGTAGTGGTGGTGGTGTGTACTTTCCCTCCCTTACTCCTGCGGCCTTGGTTGCCTGCTGAGTCGGCCTGGACCTCCTCCCCCGCTGGGAGTCCCCGGAGGCAGCTGGGCCCCAGCGGGCTGGTCCTGGAGTAAGTGTGCCTTCTTGGTGGGCCGGGGCTCCTCAGGCTCCTTCCCTTCGTTTTCTACGGGGTCCGGATGGATGGAGAGGGAGCCGCCTGGCCCTGGCCTTTGTCCTGAGCTAGGATGACCCCGGCCTGCACTGTGCCCCTAGCTCCCACTTCCAATCCCTGCGTCCTTCCATTTTGCGCCTTGGGAACACGTCCCAGGAGACCGCTCAGGCTCCTGGTGCAAGGGACCTGACTTTTCCTACAGCAAGCAGCCTAGCGGATGCCCCAACCCCCTCAACACACAGCAGGTCAGTCAGGCCTGGTGGGGAGGAGGTCTCCTGGGTGCCAAGTTGTGACCAGGAGAGGAGGGGTGCGTGCTGGGCCAGGAGCCCCCGCGTGCAGCAGGGCGGGCCCGCGGGGCAGGGGAGGGGATTACTGGCTTTTTACAGCCCAGGCCTAAGCCCCTGGCCCTGCTGAGTAATGCCTGCAACCCCGGGGTGTGAATCACTGTAGGCAGGAAAAATTAGCTCTGTTTTGCTTGCTTTTTTTTTTCCCCCCAGCCAATGGATGTGACTGTGGGGTCTGGGCAACTCTGGGATTACTGAGGTCAGCTGGAGGAGCCCCGAGGTGGCTGACAGCAGGGGCGACTGGGGTGATGGCTGAGCCTGGCTCCCAAGGGGAGCCCTTGTCATATAGTGCCCTTCAGGTGCAGACCCAGGCTTCTGCCATGGCCCAGCTTGACCTACTGTGTGGCCACTGTGCAGCTGTGACACCCTGCCCCTCCCATCCCACTCCAGGGCTCCCCTGTGCTGCTTCCCATGTGGGTTCTCTGTGCTTCTGTTGCCCGGTGATGGGACTGCAGGGCAAGAAGTCTACACCATCCCTCCTGCCTTCCCTTCCCACTGCTGCCTTTCTGGAGAATTTTTTTTCCTTTCTTTTTTTTTTTTTAGGATTTATTTACTTTTTATTACAAAGTCAGATATACATTGAGGAGGAGAGACAGAGAGGAAGATCTTCCGTCCGATGATTCACTCCCCAAGTGACAGCATCGGCTGGTGCTGCACCGATCCGAAGCCAGGAACCAGGAACTTCCTCCGGGTCCCCCACACGGGTGCAGGGTGCCAAAGCCTTGGGCAGTCCTGGACTGCTTTCCCAGGCCACAAGCAGGGAGCTGGATGGGAAGTGGAACTGCCGGGATTAGAACCGGTGCCTATATGGGATCCCAGCCCTGGAGAATTCTTTCTTCCCTTACTCTTCTGCCCGAATGTCCCCTCCTGTGAACCCCACATCCAAGTGCTGAGTGCAGTCACTGTTAACGCTTACGGTGCCTCTGTCATCTGTCAGCTTCCCACCCTTTTCCATCGGTTTCTTGGGGGCTTGTCTGCTCTGGGTTTGCATCTCGGGAGTCTTAGCACACATGTGGCCGGGGTTTTATCACAGGTATGGTCTTGTCACACGTGTGGTTGGCTCCTGGCTGTTTGTTGTCTTGAGAGTCTTAGCACACATATGGTCGAGGTCTTCTCGCTAGGCTGCCTCCACCCATGTGCTGCTCTTACAGGTGACTTCTGTGACTCCAGCCAGTGCCTGAATGGAGGAACCTGCCTGCTGAGTCAGGACAGCGCCCCTTTCTTCTGCCTCTGCCCAGAGGGGTTCACTGGCCTCACCTGCAATGAGACTGAGCGAGGTACCTGCTGAACTGTGCCTGCTGCTCTGCCCCAGTGGAATGGAGTCCCATAAGCCAGATGCTCACCTGCTTTGCCCCGAGTCACCTCCTTGGGACCTTGCTTGTGTCCAGGCTAGCCCGACTCCATTAAACAGGTTGGGGCGATGTGAGCTGAAGTGGGTAAGGGGTCCTGTCAGGCTCAGCCTCCCCACTGATTCATGTTTCTGTCCCTGCTGCTTACTGATTGTCCATTTGCTACCATCCTGTTCCCAGGTGCCTGCTCCCCCAATCCCTGCCTCAACAATGCTGCATGCCAGCTCATCAGTGACTCACACCGAGGGGATGTCTTCACCAACTATGTCTGTGAATGCCCTCGGGGCTACGTGGGCACACACTGCGAGACCCGTGAGTGTGTGGGTGGCGAGGACAGCTGCTCCTGGGGATGGATCCAGAGCCCTGGCCCTGGTGATGAAGCTTGTGCTGGCTGTCCCTGTGTTAGAGCTGCTCCTGGAGAGACCGAGGGTGTGACAGAGCCTCTCAGCCAGGGGAGAAAGGTTCTCCCCATCTGATCCTCTCTTCTGGATTGTGGGGCAAACTGACACTGCTGCTGGGGAATGGGGTTGGCGGGGACCCCAGAGATGATAGGAGGTGGTAGGAGTCACCTGGTGGGCCGGAAGAGCCCTAGGGCCACAGAACTTCTCCGGGAACGGGACAGCCACACAGGAGCCCACCATCTCAGACTTCAGAGTCTGACAGCTGGAGAGGGGTGGGTGACAGGAGGAAGAGGCCAGCCGGCCTGGACCATTCTCTCACCTCGAGACACAAATGGACTGACCATAACTGATCTGCTTGGTCATTTACTGCAGCACAGTGGCCCTTGCCAGGGGCGTTGCCGGCACTGCCAGCAGCAGTTCTCTGAGCCGCTCTCCATCCTGGCAAGGCCTAGCCCCAAAAGACCCTTCGTCACCTGCACTGGTCATGGGTGGGTGGCATGAGGAGCCCGGAGTGTCTGCTGTTTGGTGTGTGGGTTGCTGAGTCTTTGGTAGGACCGGCATGCTTCCCATCCCTCTTCAGGCAGGTGTGGGGAGAGATCTGGAATCTGTGGGAGAGCAACTCACCTGCTTTAGAGGAGACAGCACCAAGGGCCTGTGCCCTGGTCACAGGGCTGAGGTCAAATGTGTGCATATATTTACATGAATATGTGTATGCATGTATGTGTGTCTTTGTGCATGGTTATACATGTTTGTATGCACATGCCTGCATGTGCATGTGTGTGTGTGTTTAAATGCATATGTACCTGTGTTTGCATGTATGTATCTGTGCATGTGTGGGGTGTGGAAATAGAGGCTAAGGGTGGGGCCAGGTGAGCACAATAATTACTGTGCTTAGCCTGAGGTTGCTGTGGGTGTGTCTGAGCTGCAATTACATGCCTGTCACCTGACTTCCTGGCCTGGGGTTGGCCGCAAGAAGGGTAGGACAACACCTGGGCAGAAGGTGGGGTAAGCACACATTCAGGGGGACTCCCAGAGAGACCTTGACGGTACACCCCCGATCTTATGCTCCAGGGCCCTCTGTTCTCTGGCTGGGAGGGCCTGTGCCATCTGCCTGAGGTTTCCAGGTACCAAGCTCCTCTCTTCTCTAGTCCTCACGGCCCTGAGCGGCCCCTAACTGCCTCCTCCCCACAGGGTGTGCCAAGCCACTGGGCATGGAGGGTGGTGCCATCACTGACTCCCAGGTCTCCGCTTCCTCTGTGCATGTGGGCTTCCTGGGCTTGCAGCGCTGGGCTCCTGAGTTGGCCCGGCTTCACCGCACTGGCATCGTCAATGCCTGGACGGCCAGCAACTATGACAGGAAGCCCTGGATCCAGGTGGGGTGTCGGGGGACAGGAAGTTCTGGATCCAGAAAGGGGGAAATGGGAAGTCCTAGATCCAGGAAGGGGGGGGCACAGAAAGTTCTGGATCAGGTAGGATAGGGAGACAGGAAGCCCTAGATCGGAGTTTGTGGGAGGGACAGGAAGCCCTATATCCCAGTAGGGTGGGAGGGGACAGAAAGTCCTGACTATTGGAAGGGGTGGTGTGGGGTGGTCTCCAGGGCAGAGGTTAGATGCCTGTGCTTATGCTGGGGCCTTTCTGGCTGGGCAGCAAGAGCAAGGGTTGTTGTGCTAGGGAAAGGTTTCAGGCCGTGTTCACTGGACGTGGCCTCCTGGGGGCCTGGCTTTTTCCCTACTGCCTGAGGATGAGGGTAGGAAGAGCAACCTATGCTGTCTGCCCCTTGTGTCTCCCCAGATGGGTGGGGTGGAGGGGGCTCAGCCTGGGCCTGGCATAGAAGGACCCAGCGACAAGGTGCTGCTTTCTTGTCTTGGCCCAGGTGAATCTGCTGCGGAAGATGTGGGTGACGGGTGTGGTGACACAGGGTGCTAGCCGCGCTGGGAGCGCTGAGTATCTGAAGACTTTCAAGGTGGCCTATAGCCTGGATGGACGCAAGTTCCGGTTCCTCCAAGAAGCAGACGGGACTGAGGACCAGGTGGGGCAGGGGACCCAGGACATGGCCTGGCCTCAGGTTCAGCTTGTCCCCAGAAATCTGCAAACCCAGACAACTTCTGTGTTCTGTTATGGTGATGGTTCCATGTAATGTGTGGGAAAGGCTGTGGCTGGTGGCTGGGGGCTATGGTGCTAGAATATAGCTGGTGGCTGGGGACTATGGTGCTAGAATGTAGCTGGTGGCTGGGGGGTTGTCGTGGTGCTAGCATGTGGCTGGTGGCCAGGAGCAGGTGCTGGAGCCAGTCAACAGGGTTCATGGTGCTGGAACATGGCGGGTGGTCTGTGTGACTGGTGGTCAGGGATACCACGGGCAGTTGTGCACAGGATAATGGTGCTAAGTGGGTGCTGTTCCTGATGCAAACATTGTGCCCCTGAATGGTGCTGTCGGAAGTTGTCACCGTAAGGGGCCTGAGGAAGGAGGGTCTTTCCCTGATTCCAGGCTGTAGGTGCCCTGTCAGGTGTTGGTACTCGGGCCCCACATGAACAAGGCTGAGAGCAGGCTGTGTAGCAGTGCCCAAAGGGTTGCTGTCTATGCCGTCTCAGCTCTGCCCAGCCTCCCCACCTCCCGATCTAGCAGGAAGGGTGGGGTAACCATCCAGGCACTACTCCAGGCTCACTCTTCCCTCCCAGGTGTTTGTGGGCAACGTGGATGGCAGTGGGCTGAAGGTGAATCTGTTCGAGTCCCCCATAGAGGTGCAGTACGTGAGGCTGTTCCCTGTGGCCTGGCACCGTGGCTGTACCCTCCGCTTCGAGCTCCTTGGCTGTGAGCTGAATGGTGAGTGTGGGAGCACTCGAGGACCCTTTGACCATCAGCGGTCCCACCTGCCAGTGCTCGTCCTGGGCAGCGTGGTTGGCTGGGAGGGAAGGCATTCATTTTCATGTTCTGGGGGCTCCCTGAGGGAGGGGGATTTTGTTCCTAGTGTGTCCCAGTGTTCACAGTGTTTGCTGAGTGAGTGAGGGCACAGGTCAGGCCCAGGTTAGTGTGCACAGCTCTGGGCATTGGAGCTTCTTCCCTGCCGCCTCTCCCCTCCCCCCTCCCCTGTCCCTGTCCCTACCCTTCTCCCCTACCTCCTCTCACTGCCCTTTGCTCAGTGAGGTGGTCTGCTTGACCCAAGGTCTAGAGGGGCCTCCAGGGAGCATGCTGAGCGGGCCTGGCTGTCCCTCAAGGCCAGACTGATGTGCTTCCTGACGGGCATTTGGCCAGCTACCTGGAGCTTTGGAGTGTACACGCATGCCCACGTGTGTTCATCTTGTATGTGTGTGTGTGTGTTCCTCTGCGTGTGTGCATGTGCGTGTATTAGAGAGGGAGCAGAGGAAAGATTGGTCATGGGTGGGGTGGGGTGGGGTGGAGCACTGAATGGTGGGCAGGACAGGCCTTGAAAACACGAAAGAGTGGGTGTTGAAGGGAGCTGCAGTTTCCTCCTGCATCCACGAGCAAGCCAGGGGCTGAATGGAATCTTCCCCTACTGTACCATGCTCTGATGCCCACACTAGGCCGTGTGGTATCCTCCTGTGGTCTGATGCCCACACCAGACACCAAAGGACTCTCCTCCTGTGGGTCTCTTCCTATTGTCGGATGCTCACGCTAGGCCCCGCGGATTCCTCCACCTTGGTCCAGTGGCCATGCCCTGGCAGTCAAGAACCCCAGGTTGCAACGATACCCCCTCTGCCAGCAGGATGCTCAGAGCCCCTGGGTCTGAAGGATGGCTCGATTCCTGACAAGCAGATCACGGCCTCCAGCAGCTACAAGACCTGGAACTTGCGTGCCTTCGGCTGGTATCCCTTCTATGGACGGCTGGACAAGCAGGGCAAGTTCAACGCCTGGACTGCCCAGAGCAATGATGCCTCTGAGTGGCTGCAGGTGGGTCAGCCAAGCCCTCACCCCTGCCTAGCCCTGAGTTTCTGAAAAGCCATAGTTGTTTGTGCTTGAGCCTATCTCTTCCTCCTGCTTTCTCAATTGGGCTCGTACCGAGGGCCCAGGTGAGAGAGGTTGTATGAAGTGGCCCCTATGGCTGGGAGCCCCTCCCAGGGCAGGCTCCTCAGGACCTCCCCTGAGCAGGGAGCGTGTTCTTGACTTGCTGTTAAGAGTCCTGGAGATACAGAACCCTTTTCTGATGGATATGCTGTCCTAGCAGGATGAAGACCTGCATGAGGTTTGCAGCCCAGTGGCTGGCAGTCCCACTGTTGGGGCAGGGTGGCAACTCCAGGAGAATTCCTGCCTCTTCACCTGCAGGGCTGCTGTTGGCTGCTCACCCATGCCCCTGCCCCTGCAGAGGCCTCCCCCACAGTTCACTGCCCAGGCAGTGGCCTCTCCTGTCCCCAGGCCTGTGCCTGGAGTCGATGTGCATGTGACCAGGGCCCAGGTTCTGGTAAGTCCCTCACAGCGCCTGGCACAGTGGGCAGCATTGTTCAAGCCCGAGTTAGAGGTGGGTACCAAGACTCTGCCAAGGAACTTGCTTTCCCAGTTGCAAGTCCTGCTTGGTGTATCTGCCTGTGTGTGCCCAGCAGTGGTCTTAGGAACCAGTGGTTCCTGGTCTGTACATTAAGTACCTTGGGGGTCTCCTGCAGGTTGACCTGGGTGCTCAGAAGCAAGTGACTGGTATCATCACCCAGGGGGCTCGCGATTTTGGCCACGTCCAATATGTGGCAGCCTATAAAGTGGCCCACAGCAACGATGGCCGGAACTGGACTGAGTATAGGGACCCTGGGGCTGTCGACAGCAAGGTGTGTATTCATTGTGGGGGCACTAAGGGGAGGAGTGGCATCTGGGGTTCCTCCTGACACCTCCTCTGCCCCCAGGTGTTCCCCGGAAACCTGGACAACTACGCCCACAAGAAGAACGTGTTTGAGACGCCCTTCCGGGCCCGCTATGTGCGTGTCCTACCTGTGGCATGGCACAACCGCATCACGCTGCGCCTTGAGCTGCTGGGCTGCTAGAGCCAGGCTCGCTGGCCAGTGAAGGCCTAGGAGGATTGCTGAGGCTAGGCCTGCCCACCTTGTCCTGCTGCCTCTTCATGGGCCCTGTCCCACTGTGGTCCTGCTGCCCCCGTAGGGGAACTGGGGGTCATAGGAAGTGCCCCCAGAGGTCCCCAGCTCTGCAGCCTCTGCTCCTACATGTGATGGCACCCAGCCCTATCTGTCCCATGTTCTTAGGAACTGGGGAAAATGAGTAATTCTGGGATGGACAGGAAGGGCAGACTGGCCATGGGTCACCTGCCCCTCTCCAACTCTGGGCTGACACCAAAGGGCCCCATGGCTTCCTGAGCCCAGTTCCTGCACACCACATCCCAGACACCCTGGTCACAGCCTCATCCTCTTGTCCCCTGAATACTGTCCCGACCCTTGTCCAGGGTCTGCAGATTCAGGGAAAAGAAGAGCTGGGTGAGCAAGGGGTGGGCTCTGCTGACTTCACCCAGAACACTCAGGCAGCTTCCAAATACACTCATGTCTTCACTAGGACTCACTGTGGCTCCTTACTGACCACCTGCTGGGCAGCTCTTTCCCAGTTGTGCTCTGTGTGGCTGGGGGTGATCCCAGGGACCTCTTCCGTTGCAGCTCCAGCCCTGTCTGGCCCGGGGCCCACAGCTGTTGCCCTGTGAGGGGTCCTGGACACAGCACACAGATTGGCTCTGAGAACACCTGCTACCTTTCCATACCAGGAAGATGGGCCAGCCTGGGCTGAGAATTGTTCCTTCAGGAATTTTGATTTGCTCCACAACCAGAGTGCTGGGCTGAGATACAGTTAGGAGCCCAAGATCCTGGACTGCTTTCAGCCAGGGAGGACTTCCAAGGGGTACTCTTGAGACCTCACTCAGCAGGGGGCCAGCAGGCCAGTGCCCTGGAGATCAGGAAAGGTGGCAAAGGAGGGACTGTGGTGTGTGGAGCCAGCTTAGTTCTCAGGACAGATTTTTTTGGTCCAGACACTGGCAGAAAGGTGTGCACACAGGTGGATGTGGAGGGGTGGTCATGGTGTTCTGTGCACACAGATGTGTGTGGTTGAAGAAGGATGGTCGTGCAGTGCACATGGGTGTGCTTGTGGAGGGATGGTCATTCTGTGCACACAGGTGAGTGTGGAGGTGTGGCTGTGCTGTGCACACAGGTGTGGGTGTGGAGGGATGATCCATGCTATGTCCACAAGTCTGGGTGTGGAGGGGTGGTCCTTCTGTGCACAGAGGTGGGTGTGAGGTGTGGCTGTGCTGTGCACACAGGTGGGTGTAGAGGGATGGTCATGTTGTGCACACAGATGTGAGTGTGTGGAGGGATGGTCCTTCTGTGCACACAGGTGGGTGTGGAGGGATGGTCATGCTGTGCACACAGGTGGGTGTGGAGGTGTGGCTGTGCTGTGCACACAGGTGTGGGTGTGGAGGGATCCATGCTATGTACACAAGTCTGGGTGTGAAGGGATGGTCCTGTGCACACAGGTGGGTGTGGAGGGATGGTCATGTTGTGCATACAGATGTGAGTGTGGAGGGATGGTCATGCTGTGCACGCAGGTGTGGGCATGGAGGTGTGGCTGTGCTATGCTGTGTACACAGGTGTGTGTGGGTGTGGAGAGTTGTATTAGATTGTGCACACAGGTGTCTATTATGTGACCAGTTCTCTTTCCTCTCTCTTGCCTCCAGATGTGTAGGTAATGTAGGTACACAAACATTTTCACCAACAAACAATAACACAAATCTAAAAAGATGCCAAAGCCACTGTCACAATGCAGCCAATTAAGTGCTATGCTGGCATCCCATTTGAGTGTTGGTTTAGATCTGATCCAGCTCCCTGCTCACATGCCTGGGAAAGCAGCAAAAGATGACAGGACTGATTGGGCCCTACACCCACGTGAGAGACACGAAAGAAGCTACTGGCTCCTGGCTTCAACCTGGCACAGTCTCGACTGTTGCAGCCATTTGGGAAGTGAATCCACCAATGGAAAGATCTCTTTCATATAAATATCTGCTCACACGGTCCCCTCCAGGAATGCTCATCCTGAGAATTGGATGTGGTGAGCCCCAGTAGCTGGAGGAGACCACTGGGCGGGCGCCTGCAGGACCATGAAGGGAGTCAGCAGTTGGCTTTGGGGCAGAAAGTCCAAACTTCACAGCAGCAGCATACCTCATCATGTAGAAGCCAGCAGCTTCTGCAGCTGTACACTGCAGGTTGAATTTTTTTTCTTCCATCTTTAGATCCTGGTCCTGGGACTCTACCTGTTCTGGGCTCAGCTCATAGTGGATGATAAAGTCAGAGCTGAACTGTGCACAGTGACAGCAGCTCACACAGCACCCACTACACATGCCATTCATAACACATGTCACGTGTGCTCTCGAACATGCTAGTGCTGTGCTGAGAGTAAAGCTCAACAGTTACTCCGAACAGATAAGTCACCCTGAATTCACCAAGTCCTAGAGCCCCTTCAGTGCAACCCCAATCCACACAACTTCCCCTTAAATCAAAGGACAGAAACAGGTCTGTTCCAAAGTCTTTATTATTATCATCATCTTTAATTTTCAAAAATATAAATAGGTGTACGGAACCCTGGTGCCTGCACGGTCCCGGGGTGAGGAGGGGATAGGGACGGGGGAGAGGGGACAGCCCACCCACAGGGGGAGTGTACCCACCTAGCCCTGCCAGGTGGACTCCTGCCAGGTAACCTGGCACAGTCAGGTGACAGGATGCTGGAGGAAGAGCCCTTGGGGAGCAGGAGACCCTTGCCAGCTTTCTGGCCCAGGACCCCCAGGTCCTTTTTTAGCACATTCCACTGTGGCTCCGGTCCTGGTTCTGATTTCTTCAGGTCCCTGGGCTTCTGCTCCTTACAGCTCCTCTGATCCTTCCTCCCACCTCCCTAGCTCTCCTTGGAGATGAAATAACCAGCATTGCACTGCTCTCAGATAAAGTCAGGACACACAAAAATAATCTTCTTTATTTAACTTACCCCTCCCTCTCCCCTGTCCCTGCTCTGGTCCCCGGAGAGGTGCGGCCAGAGGATGAGGCAGTCTCAAACCCAGTCTGGGCTGTGGCACACTTGCTTTGCTTTGGCATTTGGGGGACACATGAGATGCAGTTTTGGTGATGGGGATGCACTGTGGGATTCACTTTTTCCTTCTTTAATGGGATTCCCTAATGATAGAAAGCGGCAGCGAGGACACCATATGGCGGGACGCGCTGTCAGCCAGTGGGTGGGCTCCTGGGCTCAGCATCTGGGTGCTCCCATGGTTCTCAGGGGGCTGTGCTGGCTCCGCTCCTCTGCAGGCTCCGTGAACTCCGCTTCTGTGCTCTGCGTGTGTAGGCGGCAGCTAGGGAGAAAGGAAGTGGGTCATGGGGGTCAAGCCGGCCCCTCCCAGTGGAGACAGTGGGAGGCTCCACTGCTTCCCGGCTCCATCTGTCTCCAAATATGTTGGGCTGAAGGGAACCAGACTGCCCACCCCAGGAAGGTAGTGCTCACGGTCTGTGCAGGTGATCCGCGGCTCCTCCCAATGCCCGCTGGGCTGGCACCGGATGGTGGGCACGTGACGCTGGATGAAGCCCTCCGCACACTGGTACCTCACCAAAGAGTTGATCTCGTAGCGTTCCTTCTTCCGCCCGAAGGTCCTGGCATGCTCTACCACGGGGGGCTCTCCACAGGCCACTGGGAGGCAGGTAGCTGTGTGTCAGGCCCTCAGGGCTCTTGGGCAATGATCCATCCCAGTTGTGACAGGTCTGCCTGGGGCCCAGGACCCCTGCACCACCACCCAAGCCTGGCTGCCAGTAGGTAGGCATGCTCTCTGATGGAAAGCAGCAAGAAGGGGTTCTCAAGAGGAGATATAAGGGAGGGAAAGACTGGGCAAGCTGAGCAGGCCATGACTGATTCTCCATAAACACTGTCAGCATTGGGGAGAATGGCTCTCAAGGCCAAGGATGTCAGGTGACAGATTGTCCCTGGCAAATCCCACTCTGATGCACATGCGAGGCCAAAGAGCAGGCTTCCAGCCCAGGGGACCTCGTGTGACAGCCTGTGGCCCACGTGTACAAGGAGTTGGTTGCAGCTACCTGTGCCCCTCACACTCGCTGCCCCATGTCTGCCTGTTCTGTGTCTTTCTGCCCATGACCCTCACACACTCCCCACCCAATGTCTGCCCATCCTGTATCCGTCTGCCCGTGACCTTCACATAGTCCCCATCCCATGTTTGCCTGTCCCGTGACCCTCACACACTCCCTGCCCCATGTCTGCACATCCTTTAACACTTGCACGTTTCCTGTCCCATGTCTGTCTGCTCATGACACACACTCCCCGCCCTGTGTCTGCCCATGACCCTCATACACACTCATCCCGTGTCTGTCTGCCCTTAACTTCCACATACTCCTCATCCCATGTCTGCCTGACCCATGCCTATCTGTGCATGATCCTCACATGCTTCCTGTCCTTGCAGATGGTCTCCAGAGAAAACCTGCCCTGGCTGATGGCCTTGGGATGCTGGGAGGGGCCCCTAGGGCAAATGAGGAGACCCATCAACTAGAAATGAGGGCTGTGGCCTCGGTCACACAGATCTGCTCTTTTCTCAGGGATCCTCTTTCCCTTCATCCTGCCCTGAGGCTCCCAGGCCTGCCTACCTGTGCCCTTTTTGCATGTAAAGGGCAGGTGGTAATTGCAGGGAACGTCATTCCACTCGCCCTTCTCATGCCAGATCATCACCACACAGTCCTCCCCGGTGGCAAAGAAGTTGTCAGGCTGGTTAGGGCGCCAGTTCTCAAATTGCTGTAGGCGGGAGAGAGGGAGTGAGCTGTAGGCAGGCACCCTGGCTCCACTGGCAGCAGGGCACGGTCTGGTTGGGGTGGTCTCAGGTGTGTGAAACCCACAGGCCCTCAGACCGCATGTGCCCAGGCCTCAGAACTAGTAAGGGTCCACAGCCCCACTTTCTCCCCTCCCTAGCGCCTTAGGACCGGACAGTCCAGCCATGAAGCAGGACTCTGCTGTCTGTCACTCCAGGACTGAGAAAGGCCATGTCCTTCCAATTTGGTTGCTGCATACCCCTAACATTGCTTTCTCTAGGGAGCCCTCCCATGGCACACAAGGGACTTCTCTGGAGCACTTGCATTTCTGTATGGGAGGATCCTGCTGTCCAGCACTCCCAGCAGGGAGCTGTCTCCAGAAGCAGAGAAGGGAATACTGAGCCCCTGCGCATGAGGGGGCCTGGCTCAAGAGACATTCTGCTCCGCCTTTGATACTGCTCCTGGTGGAGAGTGTTGTCCACACCCCTCTTCTGGGCTCCCAGCAGGACTCACCAGGAGGTGTCCATCTGACCAGCGAAAGTCTCCCTCAATGGTCCTGTCATTGAGGCCAATCCACTGGTAGTCCTGAGCATTGTCTGCAGAGAAGGGTGGGGTTGAACTTGTTACTGGGCACCCTTAGGTGTCTGAACAGCTGGAGCTTCGAGGTAGCAGGCAGTGGGGAGGGAGTGGAGCTCCCTGGAGCAAGCTGCTGGGCCCTTGCAAGGCCTTAGACTGTCCGGCCACATCCCTGGCCAGCAGACAGGTGACAGCCACAGGACTGCAGCCAGGGCTGCAGGCCCCAGAGAGCCATCTCCTCTTGGGAACTCGGCCCCAGGAGCATCTTCCACAACTCCCAGCCCCCCTCCCCACACGGCCTCACTGGGCACCATCTGCCCACGGTTGCATCCAGCCTGCAGCACTCACTGTTGACAAACTCCTGCTCCTCAGGCGTGACAATGCTGCTCAGGTGCGACTGCTGCTCCCGACACCGGCTCTCAGCATCCACCCAGGTCTCACGGTCGGGAAAGTGGCGATAGCAGTGGCCCTGGAACTTGATCCAGCCCTCCTCACAGACCTCTTGGTCTACAATACAGGCAGGAGTTTGAGGGGGCTGGGCCAGCCAGGTTGGCTGAATGTGCCAGTCTGGGGGCAGGTCCCCGTACATTCACCTCCCCCCTCAGCCGGCTGCTCCCCTGGGACAGACCTGCAAGACTGCAAAGGATCCTGCACTCCCCACCTTAGGTGCTAATCCCCCAGACTCCCCAACCCATCCCACCTTAGGTGCTGGTCCCCAAAACAGACCAGCAAGGCCTGATTCTCAGGAGCTGCTGTGTGGGTGCCCACCCTCTGGGGAAGGCTAGGGTCCATTTCTTTTCCTGATGTCCCCTGCCCCCTGCCAGCCTTCCTCCTGGGGCAGAGTCCAGCAAGTCAGGTAGAAGTGGAACGTGAGAGGTCATGAGGGACAGAAGGGAGAGGGGAGCTCCAGGATGCATATATAGGCAGCTGATGTAGGCAGTGTTGGGCAGAACCTGGGCGAAGGCACGGGCATACTACAGAGTCTGCTTTGAGCCCTGAGCTGTCCTAAGGCTTCGAGGCCGCAATAGGAGCCACTTGGTGAGACATACCGGCCCACAGGCAGGGGGGTCTGGGGCCCTGGTGTTTACTCTGTTCTAGAGGCAGACAGGAAGACATGTTTCTTCCTGAAGTTCTCAGCTCTGGCCAAGGGGCCAGCAGCTGGGACAGTGGGGAGTGGCTCTCCCTAAGACTACCTTCCGTGACTTCAAGCTGGTGTTGCTAAGCAGAAGTTTCGAGAGCTTGGCAGATGCCAGTCAGGCTTCCCTGTCTTAGCTGGCATGGAGCTGGGCAGAGGCAACCCCAGGGCCCCTCTTCCTTAGTCCTAGAGCTTCCCAGGTGGAGAGCCGCCCTCCCCGATGGGCAGAGTAGAAGCCATGAACCCAGCTGGGCTGCAGGGCAGCCTCCAGCCTGGGTGTTGCAGAGGCCTTGCTGTCTCAGGGTGGGAGGACCAGTACCTGAGGGGAAGCAGTCCTGTGCAGTAAGGATGGATGCTTGGCAGGGCTGCAGGAGAGACAGCAGGGAGAGTGGAGGCAGAGAAGGGTGGCAGGCGGCAGCCTGAGAAGAGAGCAGCAGAGCAGTAGCTGAGGAGCTAGCCAGGCATCCCTGCCACTCCCCAGGCCACAGAGGAAGCCAGCCCTGTGAGCATGGGAATGCCATCCAGGGCAGCCTGGGAGGCTGGTGCTGGGACACCTTAGTGTCCGAGGGTTGGGCAGGCAAAGCTGGAGGTATGGGCACTCTGCCGGGCAGGGGGCATGCGGGTAGGGACTCTAGAGAAACAGAAGCAGGGAGGCTGGAAGAAGTGGCAGGGTCAAGGCCAAGGTGCATGGCCCTGGACGCTCCACACTGGTGGGACCAGGCACAGGGCCAGCTCTGCAGCTGCATTTGATCTGTTCTGCCCAGCATAGATCCCTTTTCCCAGGCAGGGAAGGAGCTGTCACCCATGTGCACACTCTAGGCCCTCTCCCCTGTGGCGCCCTAGAAAGTTCACTCCCATTCTGCCCAAGATCCCACACACCTGTTTCTGGGGGTTGAAGGTAAGATTGGAGGGCGGTAAGTGGCCTGGGAGGAAGGGGTTAGGCCTGAAGCTCCTCCACCAGCTGGCACTCCTGGCAGTGCCTCCAAGGAGTGCATCCCACACAACTCCCTCCCCATACTGCCAGGAGCAGTCTTCTCAGGAGTCTCCACAACCTTCTGGAAGTTGCTGGCTGTCCAAGCTGAGTTCACCCAGATGATCTTGAACCCTCACTCTCCTGCCCTTTGGCAGGGACCATGACCACCCTCTTCTCTGAGCTGGAAAGACACTTGGAAGCCCCCAGGTGAGAGATACCAGCTCAGCTAGCACAAGGCTCCCTAGGGCAAAGGGTTCTGCTGCCCCTTCCAGACTTTTTTCTGGCCAGCCCTTGACTTTGCAGTGTGGCCTGGCTTGACCACCAGCTTTCCTGGTGATGATAACAGGGTGATGTGCATAACAGGAGCTCTCAGGCAGCCCAACTCTCCTGCTTGCCACGGAGAAGACATAGGGAGCTTGGCCAGGGTGGCATGGTGGTTCCCAGGCTGCGGAGGGACTCAATGGGCCATGAAACAGGTAGACACATGCTTGTGACCTGCTGTCCATGCTGTCCATGGCTGCCACTGGAATCACTCCCACCCACAGCTTGCTTCAAGACAAGCATAGGAAATTCAGCTCTGTGTGCTGAGCCTGGCATGTGTGCCGAGCCTGGCATGTGTGCCACCCTAACTCAGTGGCAACACCAGTAGCTCTGGGCCAGGGAGGACACTGTAATGGTTCCCACAGACCCAACTTCCAACATGCAGGCTGGGTCAGTCAGGATGGCCAGTGCCTCCGAGGAGGGATTCCAGGAGCAGAAGTGGGAATTGGCTGTGGTCCCTGGGGGCCCCTTCCAGGGCCTGTGGTCTGTGGTTAGAGGGAAGGGTGCAGGAGGAGGAGGGGTGTAGCAGTTAGTGACATTAGCTGAAGCAGAGACGGCCGTACCGATCTCACAGAGGTCCCCTCCGTAGCTGGGAAGGCATAAGCATGTGAAAGAGTCGGCGGCATCCACGCAGGTGGCTCCATTCACACAAGGGTTTGAGAGGCATTCATCCATGTCTGCAAGAGACCAAGGGCCACTGTTAGAGTCCTGTGGCCAGCCCTGGGCTGTCCAGAGCCCTGCAGGGGCCTGGCTGGCTTTCCTAGGAACTGCCGCTGCCACCATCTTAGGATTCTGATCCTGAGTCTTTCTGGGTTCCTCCGATGTATGTGACTCCTGGCTGGTCAGCATGAGATGGTGGAGCCACGCTTCTCCATGGCCACAGAACTGGTGTTTGCCAAGCCAAAAGCTCTCCACGAGCAAGCATACAGCTCCTTTCTGATGTCTTCACTTGTGACTGCTTTTAGGAGCCTTGGGGTCTGACTGGCTGTGAACATGGCCATGCATTCCTGAAGCTGGACTAGATGCCCTTTCTCTCTTGGTGTCTCCTGCAGTCAGGAACATGGAAGGAAAGAAGGCCTGGTAGGCAGAGAACAGACCACAGCCAGTGTGCACAGGTGCTCCTGGAGATACGTCGGAGGGCTCTAGGGCAGATAATCTTGCCACCTTTGGCAGATACGGTTTGAGAAGCTGGTGAGGTGCAGCTGGCATCTTCATCTTGTGAGGGTAGAACCCCAGCCCAGCCTTGGGGAACCTCTGCTGAAGTAAGGCCACGCAAGGTGGATCTCTGGGAGTCACGAGTCCCAAAAGGGCTCCATCCTGGCCAGAGGGAGACAGCCCTGGAAGCCAAGGGGGTATTTGGTAATGACGAGCCTGCATCCAGACAGGTCCCTATCATCATCCTCTCAGGTGAGCTGACTTCTGTTCTAGCACTGTGATGTGCTTCCAATAAACTTGTACTTAGGACTGGAATCGATGAGTTTTCACCAGCGATTCGACGTGATACATGAGGCCTTCTATTTGAGTCTGAGAAACTTGGGAAGTCTCTTTTGTCCTCTTCCTATTTGTGTTCCAAGGGCTCCTGCTGGGTTTTTCCTGGGTTCCCTCCCTTGGGAATGCGGTTATTCTGAAACTTCTCTTGCCAGAAATCTGACAAGATCTTGCCCTGTATGGGTTCTGCCCCCAAACAGGTGCCACAGTGTGAGGTGGGAAGATGCTGTGCCTGGGCTTATGCAGTCCTCAGGTCTGAAGGGTTCCTGGGGGCTTCACCTGAGCAGTCAAGTCCTGTGTTGAGATGGAACCTCCGAGAGTAACACATTTCACAGCTGTCGTGGGAAGTGGGCAGGCACTTCCTTCTGAGTCTTCAAGGTGCAGACACAGGAGACATCTCTGGGCCAGAGCTGGGCTTGTGCTGTGGGGGGCCTGGAAATACCCTGTACTCGGTGTTCTGCTTCTATCTTTGAGTCCGTGACCATCTCAGGACGCATCTACCACAAATGGGAGACCGACAGTTCCGAGTTTGGAACTGTTCCAAGCAAAACCAAAGTGCATGGGGAACCAACTAGAATCCCAGCATGCACTTGATTCCATTCCCAGCATGCAGCAGGACTCCCGGCAGCAGCAGTGGCAGCAACAGGTCAGGCCAGTGTACAGGGTGGAAGCTGAGACTTCGGTGTTCTGCTGTCCATTAGTGTCATTACAGGCGTGGGGAGCACTGGGCAAGGGTAGTCAAGCAAACACAGGCGCTAAAGCAGTTGTACAGAGCAGACACAGGAGGTGAGCCAGACAGCAGCTGGGTACTGCCCATTGTCCCAGAGGCTCCTTGCATCCCCATCCCCAGGCTGCAAGGGCCCAGGAGGCAGGATTCCTCCTCTTCTGTGTTTGTCCAGGGCTCAAAATCTTAGAATGTGGCAGGGATCAAAGGGACCAAGTCTGGGTTCAAAAGTTTTTTTCCAGCAGAGTCCTGGGTTCAGAGATGAGAAGGAAAGGAAGACCAGAGAGCTAGAGGGTGGGCTGGGTCCAAGAGGGGTTCCTGGGTTGAAATTCATATCAGTTATGCGTTTCTTCCCTGCCTCTCCCCCTCTTCCTTTGACTTAAGAGCCCCTCTGGCCTTGCATGGCTTTGGTCAACTATGAAAGGCAACTAGGACATCTCTGGGCTTATGGGACCCAGGGAAGTGTCGGGCATGCTTGCTGTGAGTGCTGAGTGTGAATTCCAGGTAAGGTGTTGGTAGATGAGGGGCAGATGAAGGACACTGGATCATGGACCCACATCACAAAGAAAAGGCAAGAAGAACCCTCCTAGAGCTGGAGTCAGGGGCCAACTCATTCACATTTTCTCCACAGCCCAGTGCATGGGCACTTTTGGGTCACGAACAGGAGAGGACCCAAGTGAAGTGGTGAGTTTGGGGTACACAGCAGAGGAGATACAAGGGAGAGGCAGGAGTGAATCTGGAAGCTGGGCCAATGTCCCATGTTGTGAAGAAACACTGGACCCTCCACTCCTCAACATCATATCAGCTCCAGCACCAGCGCCCTCAACATCATCATCTTCATCATAAGTGTCAGCTCCAGCACCCAGCACCATCATCATCATCATGTCAGCTCCAGCACCCAGCACCATCATCATCATCATGTCAGCTCCAGCACCCAGCACCGCCATCATCATCATGTCAGCTCCAGCACCCAGCACCATCATCATCATGTCAGCTCCAGCACCCAGCACCATCATCATCATGTCAGCTCCAGCACCCAGCACCATCATCATCATCATCATCATCATCATCATGTCAGCTCCAACACCCAGCACCATCATCATCATGTCAGCTCCAACACCCAGCACCACCATCATCATCATGTCAGCTCCAGCACCCAGCACCGCCATCATCATCATGTCAGCTCCAGCACCCAGCACCATCATCATCATGTCAGCTCCAACACCCAGCACCACCATCATCATCATGTCAGCTCCAACACCCATCACCACCATCATGTCAGCTCCAGCACCAATGCCCTCAACATCATCATTTTAATCATAAGTGTCAGCTCCAACACCCAGCACCACCATCATCATCAAGTCAGCCCCAGCACCATCATCATCATGTCAACTCCAGCACCCATCACCACCATCATGTCAGCTCCAGCACCAATGCCCTCAACATCATCATTTTAATCATAAGTGTCAGCTCCAACACCCAGCACCACCATCATCATCATGTCAGCTCCAGCACCCAGCACCATCATCATGATGTCAGCTCCAGCACCCAGCACCGCCATCATCATCATGTCAGCTCCAACACCCAACACCATCATCATCATCATCATCATCATCATCATGTCAGCTCCAATACCCAGCACCATCATCATCATCATGTCAGCTCCAGCACCCAGCACCACCATCATCATCAAGTCAGCCCCAGCACCATCATCATCATGTCAGCTCCAACACCCAGCACCATCATCATCATCATCATCATCATCATCATCATCATGTCAGCTCCAATACCCAGCACCATCATCATCATCATGTCAGCTCCAGCACCCTCATCTTCATCATGATGTCGGCTCCAGCACCAGCACCCTCAACATCATCATCGTGTCAGCTCCAGAACCCAGTACCATCATTATCATCACATGATTATGTCAGCTCCAGCACCCAGCACCATCATCATGTCAGCTCCAACACCCAACACCATCATCATCATCATGTCAGCTCCAACACCCAGCACCATCATCATCATCATGTCAGCTCCAATACCCAGCACCATCATCATCATCATCATCATGTCAGCTCCAGCACCCTCATCTTCATCATGATGTCGGCTCCAGCACCAGCACCCTCAACATCATCATCGTGTCAGCTCCAGAACCCAGTACCATCATTATCATCACATGATCATGTCAGCTCCAGCACCATCATCATCATCACTGAGCAGGCACTGAGGAATGTCGGGACTTCCATGGCCCTTTCCATACTAATTCAAGCAAAACAGTGAGTTTGTCCCTGAACCATACTCTTGGCAATATATCTGGCTTTGGGGAGGAACTCTTAGCACCCAGAATAGGGGATGGGAGCAGAGATGTGCAGACAACCCTACGCCTCCATCTGGAAGAGGTCTTGCTGAATCTCGCCTGGGTCAGAATCCAGGATCCACCAGTGGGAGAGGATTATGCAACTCCTAGAAAATGTGAAAATAGGAAGCTCTATCATAGCAGTATCTTTCGCTCAAATGATATTGATTCAAGGGCTTGCCAGGCATGGAGACTGCTATAAATCGTCCTCTCCAAGTGGATCAGTCACTGGACAGCTCTGTCATGCCCTGGGAATACTCCCCTGGGAAAGGAGAAGCACGGAGAAGCAATGCCGTCCCTGTACAGACTCAGAGTCAATCAGGTTGGACCACTCCGAGTGTAGCCAGTCTGTGACACAGAGCAGGGCTCTAAGAACAGCCTGGCCAGTTCCAGTTTGCTTTAGGACACATTTCATTAAGCTACAAAGTATGCTGACATTATTTGTACTATTTCAAGTCTTTCAAATTTTAAAGGTTAATCTTGAATATAACCTGAATATCCTGAATCTGCCTGTGGACTGTTCTGCCAAGTCAAGAAAGCATAATTTGCATTTTCACTTGCAGTCCTCGATTATCAATTGCTTCAAAAACCTTTCCCACAGATGAAGCTGTCACTGAAAGTCATCTCCTCTAGAGGAAGAGACAGTGTCAGAGATCCAGACCTAGAAAATGGGAAGCAGCAGCAAGTCAAAAAGCTGGCGTCCTCCCAACAGGAACCTAAAAGACGGCCACACAACACAATGATGACTGAGGACTGGGTGTGAGGCCGGGAGAACTGTGCTTTTCAACCTTGTTGCACCTAAGACTCACCAGGGATACAAACAGGTCTTGTTAGAGAACCAGGTGACTCTAAGACCTCAGGATGACAGTTAGGTCAGAACTCAGCACCCACAGGGACACATGTTAACAGAAGTGGAGGAACTGCAGCTGCTGCCCAGTGGGTGGGCACAGCACAGTGCTGCTTGGGTGCTAACAGTCAGGACTCATTGAACAGCTGTTCATGTTGGAGTCAGAAGTACTAATAACTTATTGAGACACTGTTTATGAAGTACTAACTGAACAAGAGGAAAGTAATGGTCAAATGGCTTTCTGTGGGGTGAAATGTAGCCTCTAACCCCTTTATGAGGTAGAATTTTCACTGGGATTCAAACATTGCTATAAGGCAGAGGCTGCATTTTTCTATCTATGGCCCCTGGAGGATATGGGTCTCGATTTCTCTGATGACCTGTGGTCCCGAGTCCAGTACAAGACCATGGTAATCGTTCATGGAAACCATTCACTACCCAAAGTCCTGCTGTGAGCATTTGAACTTGAAACCCTGAGTTTATGCTGGGCTGATCCTCAGGGATGCTGGAGCTTTTCTTCACTGGAGAAGTGATGGATGGGAAAGGGAACCCAATTTCATGAGCTCTTCTGGCAGATGCCACCCAGATGATCCGGACCCTCACCCTAGGCTCCACATTGGAGTCTCCTGGGAGTCATAAAAGTCCCAATGCTCAGCTCATGGAGTCATGTCAACCAGGACATGGGGGGTGGGTCCAAGGCACTCATAATATTTAAAGTTGAGAACCACTGATCCCCGAGTGTGGACAGGGAAAAGAGAAGGCTGGGTTGCATTCTGAGTGGCAAGTTAGACCCACTTGCATGGCCAGTTCTGTCCTGGCTCTTGGAGGACAGAAGCCAGGCTTCTGTAACTCAACAAACCAGTGAATACAGCATATCTTAATCCAGTCCACCCACTAGTACAGCCAGATCATGTACTCAGCTGCTTCTGTAACTTTTGTCTCCAGCATCACTCTTCTGCCTCAAATATCAGAATGAGAAGCAGTTACTAAGACTGCAGCTCCCCATCCTGATTGGTGGCAGAGGGTTTAGGTAGTAGTCACTGAGGTACCATGCCCCAGCGAGACAGTGTTCCTGGGCTGAAGTTGGCATCTTCCAGTTCCCACATGTGGGCAGAGGTGACCCAAGGGAGCATAGAGGGAGTGCCTGTCCACCCTCCCATCAGCCCATCTATACATTCACTGTGCATGTGCCATGTACGTAACACAGAATATACAATGGGTGTGTGCGTGCGCGTGTGCATCACAGGGCTTTTCTTCTTGTGCAACAGAAAGGCTGGAGATTGGCTGCCTCCTAACAGATGCTTTCCTGGGGTTCATCTCTGCAGTCTTGCCATTTGTCCTAGGAATGTCCTTTTGTGAAGGATCTGGAGTCTTGCTTGGCTTAGGAGATAGGTTGCTGATAAGGGCACTGGGTGATAGAGAGACATAACCCAGGAATATGAGCTTGAGGGTGACTGGCCATTTTTTCCTCCGGTGTGGTAAGTTAATGAAAGGATAGCTCATCATGGCCACAGGCCTTGGAAGTGGTCACACAATAACAGGTGAGTTCCAGGCATCCTATCTCCAATCAGAGGTTCCTCAGGCTCCCTCCACTTATTCAACAGGGTCCTGGACCCAAGGCTGAGAACAAATAGGCTCAGAGAGCAGGTGTCCAGAGATGTGTGCTACAGGTCACGGCTGCTCTGAGCTGGATCAGAGTGATTTTGGGTTTCCTTCGGGACAAAGTGGGGTGTGGACCCTTGTCAGATCCAAGAACTGAAGGATCTCAGAGTCTGTCCCAGCAGAATTTAGTTTCCTTGATGTGCGAGCTCTCCCTCAGAGTGTGCCCAGCAAAGCAGAAGAGCACGGCCAGCTATCTTCCATCTTCACCCCCAACTCAACATTTTGTTGAGTCCCAAGTCCTATCTTTGGCATTTAGGCATATTTTTGCAGTATATCCATAAAATAATCCTTAGCTTGAGATGAAACTCATTGCTTACAATCTCAACTACTGAATTTGGCTTTTTCTTCTGAACTGTCATGCTACCCAACTGTTTGGGATGATTAACCATGCTTCCACCCCAACATACTCACCTCTCCTTCCTAGCCCGCCTCTCCTTCCTGGCTTCCTCACAGCTTAATTGAGTGCTCCAGCCTGTGCTCCTTCCGGGCAGAAAGGAGCCTGTCCAGTATCCATCCCTTACATCCCGTGGCCAATGAGGGACTTACCTATGTCACAGTGCTCGCCAATGCGGCCAGGTGGACACAGGCATGTGACATGTCCCTCCGTCTCCTGGCAGGTCCCAGCGCCACAGGGCTCCTCAGCACAGGACCTGGCAGGGGCTATGACCCCAGGAGAGAGGCTGAGCATCAGAGACCCAGCAACCTGGGGAGCCGCTCAACCTCTGAGAGCTCGTACAAGCTGCAGCACAAAGCCCCTGCACCCCCCTTCAAGCCTGGCTTATGGTCAAGCTGTCTGTGGGGATTCAGTCTCTCCTCAGAACTGGGAAGGGGATTCTGCCTGTGAAAGCTCTCTCAGTACAGTGGCAGGTGCAAGGGATCCAAAAGCAATGGGAAAGCAACTAGCGCCCGTGATTGTGTTGCTGTGAGGCATGGCAACAGCACAGGGGTCCCTTTATGTTCTGGTCTGAATGGGGACACTTCACAGCTCCTTCAGCAGGCAGGCCTCAACTCTGCACAGAGTGAATAACGGGGTCACTCTTTCCAGTGCATGAGCAGAATTTCTAACATGACCTAAATTGGCACCTTCTCCCTCCTGCACTGGGGGGATGGCTGGATTCCCACAGAAACGTTCATGGGATCCAAGACTACTGTGATGTCTGCCATCACACATCTTTGTAAGTTTGCATTGTGTGCCACAGTGATGCTGAGTGCTCACTTGTTTTCTCTGCATATACATTCTGTTCAATGTTTTAGTTTCTTGTAACTATAATCTCAAAGAAGTCACAATCTCACTCTTACCTGAGGCCCAGCTTAAAGCTATACTGGCTCCTACTAGTACTATCCCAGCTGCCTGCAATCAGAACACCCAAACATTCTTATAGGTAACAAAACCCAGCAATACCTGCTGCAGTTGGCCTTGATTCACCTGCCCCATCTGGAGAGCTTTGGACAGGAGCATCTGTTGGAGAGGTGGCTGTTTTGGCTGTGTCTTCTAAGTATGAGGGGCTCGAGGACTTGATGTCCAGGTGGGCCTCTGTGGGATGCTGGGTCTGCTCAATCCACTCAGCCTCCTGGGCAGTGGTGGTCTCATCCACCAATCCCGATGTGTGACCGGACAGGTCTCCACTCACTTCAGTGATGTCTCTGGAGGTGGTAGGAGTGGCCGGAGGTAAGCCTGAGGTCTCTGTGCCTGCACTGTAAGTGAGTGTCGACTCTGCACTCTCCTCTGGGGAAGCTGAGTCCTTTGTGGAGCCTTCCTGAAAGGCCAGGGTGCGACTGCTCCCTGGCAGGCCCGAGGCATCCTCCACACCAGCTTCAGGGAAGGCAGAAGTGGCTTCACCAGCATCTGGAGATCCAGAGGCTTCGCCACTGGCTTCAGATGCAGCAGGTGCCCTTGTCCCAGGCTCAGGGTAGGCAGACAGCTCACTGTGAGATTCTGGGACTGAGGATGCTCCTATCCCAGGCCCAGGCAAGGTTGGTGCGATTCCACTCGTATCCCCAGATGCAAGGGCTTCCCCACTGGACTCAAAAAGCGGGGGCACATGTGTCACAGGGGGTCTCTGGCCAAGTTCTTGAGAAACAGTTGGTTCAGTAACACCCTCCATGAATTTAGACATGATCAAAGTAACTTGTGGAAGTCCTGAGACCTCCCCACTGGTGCTTGTGACTGCAGAAAATTCTCCACTCAGGTCAGTGGTGCTAGGAAAGTCTCCACTGGAATACGGAGAGCTTAGAGGCTCCCCACTGGGTTCTACCAGCCCAGACTGCAGCCCACTTAGGTCCAGAGATCCAGAATGGTCTACATTCATGTCAGGCACTCCAGAATGGGCACCACTGAGTTCCAAAATGCCTGATGGACCTTCTCCTGCTTCTTGGGCTGTTGGAGTCTGGGTTTCAGATTCCACCAAAGTTCTGTCTATGAAAGAAACAGTGGGAAAACCAGATGAAAGTCCACTGCTATCAAAAGCTCCTGAGGGCAAGCTGCTCCCAACCTCAGTTGCAGAGGATTCACCACTGATCTCAGCTGCTCCACTTGTGAAACCACTGAATCCTGGAGCCAATGGTGTAAACCCACTGGAATCAATTGTCCCAAAAGATTGTCCACTGGCATCAATGATCTTGGATGAGCCCAACACATCTGTCTCCCCAGAAGGAAGACCACTGAGTTCTACAGATCCTAACCTTTCTTCTTCCTTAAATGTAGTAGAGGTCACTTCAACCAAACTTGTGTCCACAAAGGTAATGCTGGAGGATTCTCCACTGCCACTCATGGCTCCAGAAACCAGGCTGGGGATTCTGGGAGTCAAGCCACTGAACTCTGGCGAACCAGATGGCTGCCCACTTAGATCTCCACTCAGATTGTTTGTGACAAATGGCTGACCACTCCCAAAAAGAACTCCAGACACTTCTCCACTGATGACTGATGTTCCAGAGGACAGTCCACTGAGCTCAGTCACTCCAGACATACCCTCGCTGGTGTCAGAGAACCCTGATGGCTGTCCACTGACAATGAGTTCAGATATTTCCCCACTGGTGTCAGGAGACCCTGATGCTCGACCACTGACCTCAGTCACTCCATATGTATCTCCGCTGGTATCAGGAGACCCTGAGGCTTGACCACTGAGCTCAGTCATTCCAGACATTTCCCCACTAGTGTCAGGGAATCCTGATGGCTGTCCATGGACAATGAGTCCAGACTTTTCCCCACTGGTGTCAGGATACCCTGATGCTTGACCACTGAACTCAGCTCCTAAAGGGAGTCCACTAGCTCCCCCACTAATGTCCAGCCCACTGAAGGGCATTCCAGATATTTCTCCTGCCCCACTGATGTCAATGGTTCCCCTCCCTTCCAGTTCACTTGCACTGGTGGTTGTGATCACTTCCACCAATGTAGTATCTACCAGGGAGACAGTTGGGAACCCAGATGGAAGTCCACTAAAGTCAGGCAGACCAGAGGAGGGGCCACTTTCAAGGTCCACTTCAGAGTACTCTTTACTGTATCCCGAGGGAAGACCACTTGTTTCTGGAACTTGCCCACTTCCCAAAGTTCTGTCAAAGTCCAAGGCTCCGGATGCAGATGCCACCAAGTCTTCTTTTCCAGAAGACAATCCACTAAGGTCCTCAGCTCCAGAATCTAAGGTCTCTAAAACTTCTCCAGAAGGAAGTTCAACTAGGCCCCCTACTCCTGAGGCAGAAGTCTCTACAGCTTCCCCTCCAGAAGGAAGTTCACCAAGGCCCTCAGCTCCTGAAGTAGAAATCTCTAGAACTTCTCCAGAAGGAAGTTCACCAAGGCCCCCAGCTCCCAAGGCAGAAGTTTCTAGATCTTCTCCAGAAGGAAGTTCAACTAGGCCCTCTACTCCCGAGGCAGAAGTCTCTACAGCTTCCCCTCCAGAAGGAAGTTCACTGAGGCCCTCAGCTCCCGAGGCAGAAGTTTCTAGATCTTCTCCAGAAGGAAGTTCAACTAGGCCCCCTACTCCTGAGGCAGAAGTCTCTACAGCTTCCCCTCCAGAAGGAAGTTCACTGAGGCCCTCAGCTCCTGAGGCAGAAGTTTCTACAACTTCTCCAGAAGGAAGTTCACTGAGGCCCTCAGCTCCCGAGGCAGAAGTTTCTACAACTTCTCCAGAAGGAAGTTCACTGAGGCCCTCAGCTCCCGAGGCAGAAGTTTCTAGATCTTCTCCAGAAGGAAGTTCAACTAGGCCCCCTACTCCTGAGGCAGAAGTCTCTACAGCTTCCCCTCCAGAAGGAAGTTCACTGAGGCCCTCAGCTCCCGAGGCAGAAGTTTCTAGATCTTCTCCAGAAGGAAGTTCAACTAGGCCCCCTACTCCTGAGGCAGAAGTCTCTACAGCTTCCCCTCCAGAAGGAAGTTCACCAAGGCCCTCAGCTCCTGAAGTAGAAATCTCTAGAACTTCTCCAGAAGGAAGTTCACCAAGGCCCCCAGCTCCCAAGGCAGAAGTTTCTAGATCTTCTCCAGAAGGAAGTTCAACTAGGCCCTCTACTCCCGAGGCAGAAGTCTCTACAGCTTCCTCTCCAGAAGGAAGTTCACTGAGGCCCTCAGCTCCTGAAGTAGAAGTCTCTGGAACTTCTCCAGAAGGAAGTTCATCTAGGTTCCCCACTCCTGAGGCAGAAGTCTCTAAAACTTCTCCAGAAGGAAGTTCACCGACGGCCCCCACTCCTGAGGCAGAAGTTTCTACAACTTCTCCAGAAGGAAGTTCACCAACGGCCCCCACTCCTGAGGCAGAACGTTTCTACAACTTCTCCAGAAGGAAGTTCACCGACAGCCCCTATTCCTGAGGCAACAGTCTCTGGAACTTCTCCAGAAGGCAATTCACTTAGGCTACCTGCCCCTGAGGTAGAAGTCTCTGGAACTTCTCCAGAAGGAAATCGGCTGAGGTCCCCTGCTCCTGAAGCAGAGCCCTCAAGGCCCTCACCTCCAGAGGTCATCCCACCAACTTTAGGAGTACTGGACAACTCAATTTTGTCTTCATCACCTGAGGCCAGTCCACTCCCCACAGGCAGGCCTGAACCCACTGAGGAAGTGACACCACTGGAGTCCACGTCTCCTGAGGGCAATCCACTTGCACTGCCCCCCAGGGGCTGCCCAGGGGTGTCAAAATGTCCTGAAGCTTCTCCACTGCCTGTGAAGTCTCCGCTAATGTCAGGTGCCCCCGGTGCCTCCCCAGAGCCTGGAAGTTCAGTCCCCAGGGGCACCAGTGATGAAGGCATGAACGGCTCCGAAGCAGAGGGCACTTCAGCTGTAGAAAGGCCTTCAGTGTTCTCTTCTGTCGCTGTGTCAGTGGGAGACCAGGTATGAGGGATCCCTGGAAGAAGGAAGGACCAGGTATGTGTTTGTGAACTCTGCCCCTTTTAAGCTCAACTATAGCAGCTGAGCTGCATTCTTTCGACAGGACCTGTTTTCTCAGGAGCTCGGTTGTATGTTCAGACCACGTTCTACTTGGGAAGGAAGGGATGGGGAGGGAACAAGCAGCTGCCTCCACTACCCTCAGGGCTGCAGGCTGTACTATGTAAGGCTGGATGTGGGGGCCTGGCTGCTACTTAAGATACCCAGGGTTTCCTTTCAAGTCCTTCCATGTGGTCAGATTTCCAAATAATGGTGTCCAGGCCCAGCACCCTGGGTTTTCAATACCACTAGTGCCGGTACTGGCCAGCGTGCAGGGACCCTGGATCTCACCCATCCCTGGGAGGCGAGCAGCACCAGAGCTGTTGTTTGCAGACTGTTCTGAAGCCCTGGTGCAGAGGATTTACCAAGCAGGAGGAACAAGAAAAGCCCACCACTTGGTCACAGTACCCAAGCTGAGGACTGAACCTTGCAAGCGTCTGGAGGTTTATCTTCCAGCTGAGCACTGAGGGGCACACTCACTGTCCCCTCCATGGCAAGAGTTCCCGAGGGGCTGGTAGGGGGAAGGACAGCAGAAGCAGAGCCCAGAAATGCACATTTACTCTGGCGGTGACACACACTTTCTTCAAGAAGTTCATGAAAAATGCATATTATGAGAGAACTATGAGTGGATTCCAAACTTTTTTGCATCAAAATGAACTTAACTTTTAATTCCGTTTTCCTCCAAGCCTTAAAAACAACATTTATTTGTGTGAGAAGCAGAGAGACAGCGAGTACTCCTACTCACTGATTCACCCCCACCAAACACCTGCAGTGACAGGGGCTGAGCCAGGACAGAAGCCCGGATTCCGGAGCTCAGTTTGGATCCCCTAGTGGGTTGTAGGAAACCAAATACTTGAGGCTTTGTCTGCTGCCTCCAAGGGTGCACCTTGGCAGGAAGTTGGAATTGGAAACAGAGGTAGGACTTAAACCCTGGCGCTCCAATGTTGGATGCAGGCATCCCAAGTGTTCTCTGACCATTGTGTGAAATGCCACCCCAACCTACTCTGTCTTTAAAAATCAAATCAACTGAAGAAAAATAAAGATACAGAGTAAACAATATAATTGCACAAGAGATCCCAGACATGGCTCAGTCAGCTAGATGGTTAGAAACTGCAGTCTGCAGAACACCCGTGCAGGGCTGTGGGACTTCCCACTGGCAGCTCCCTGCTAACAGCTATGCATGCAGGAGAAATGAGATGGGAGCAGAGGGCAGACCTGGTTGTCATCAGAGACTGCCTCAGTCACAAATCCCAGAGAGCCCCCTACCATGTCTCTCAGGGGAGGGCTATGAGGGGGAGCCACCCACCAACAGTCAGGGGAGGATCCTGAGGGATAGCTGCCCACCACACTCAGTCAGTGAGGGGAGGGTTCTGAGTGAGAGCTGCCCACCACAGTCATGGGAGGGCATGAGGGAAGAGTGGGAACATTGCTCAGGGTACCCCAAATCCAGGCCATACCAACCTGACCACAGGGATGTGCCAACTGGGTGGGAGACTGTTTCCCATCCTGTCTGGTTTCCTGGCTCCAGGGTTAAGTCCAGGACTGTGGTTGTCTCCTCTCCCACAGGCACAGCAGCCACACCAGGTCCCACTTGTGTAACAATTTGCTCCTCCAGGTCATATGAAGGTGTGGGTGTGCCGCCCTCCTCTTCTCCTGCAGTGGGTGCCTCTGAAGTACCTGAAACGGGTGGAGTCATGAGGGCCCCTTCTCCAGGGAAGGGAAGACCAGATCACCAGGTCTGTGCAGGGTCCAATTGCCCAATGTCCAAGCTCAGCAAGGCGCTCTCCATCTCCCCAGCCAGGGTGGTCTGGGCTCTCCTGCAGACTGTCACCAAGGCCAGGTGTGGCTCTAAGAGCCTCCTGTCTACAAAGACACTCCACCTCAGAATTGTCTGTCCCATGTCACAGGTGAGCAAGCTGAAGCAGTGCCACGTGACTTGCTAGGGTCAATGGCTTCCAAGTAACAGACCTCAATTTGATTTAAACCGGCAGGTGCCTATCTATCTAATTTTAGTACTCCAGTTCCCACGTCTCTCCTTATCTCTGGGGAGTTTAAACGCCCACCTTGCTTGGCAGTCACTCTCAACACCATGGCAGCTTCAGAACCACCCTGACCTTTCTCTTCCTTGTGCTGTAATGGAGAGTGACAGGGGAGCCACCCAGGGTAGAAGGGTGCACTGTAGGACAGGGGAAAGACTCACCTCGGAAGCAGAAAGCATGATGCCTGGACAACGGGTCCGGAAGACCTGTCTGGTTGGGGTAGAGGTAGACGGTCCTCACACCTGGCTTATCCCCGCCACAGGCAGGCCGTGGGGTGACAATAGGGTAGCGCAAGCTGCCATCAGCCAGCCAGCCTGCATAGCACCTGTCCAGACCGCGACTCCAGGCGGCGTATAGCTGGCCCGTGGAGGCTAGTGTGGCGTTGTGGGACTCACAGAACTCCAGTGCCTCCTGGAAGGTGAACTGTTCGAGACGTGTGGCAAAGAATACCTCCCCTAGGGGCAGAGGCAGGAGTTGGTGGGACCCTCCAGATCATGACCAGGCACAGCCCCCACCACCCACCAGACCTCATCTGGGCTGTCTGCCAGGCCAATGCAGACTCACCCCAAGGGGACCCAGGGAAATGGAATCTCTGAGTAGCTCCCTCCTCCCCTCTTTTTTGATTCTCCAGCTAGGCTAGGAGAAGGGCTCCCCAAGCACCTTACCAGTCCCCCTGCACTTACTACAAGTGCTGTGGAGGCTGTGGGCACACCCCTACCTCTGAACCCATTCCACCCATTTTGGGGGGAAAAGTTCACATCCACTGAAGACCTGTGTGCCAGTTGTATCTCTCTGAACAACTCCCCTGACAGGTCAGGTGCATGTTTCAGAGCTGAATGTGAGCCCCATTTATGGACAGGAAGCTAAGGCCTGCAGGCAGCTGGGGGACTGACCAGTCAAGGGCGCAGGGTGAGGGGGTGTCCTTCCAAGACAATCCCAGAAACCCTGCATCTCTAAAACTGCACCCAGCAGAACACTGATCTGATTATTTTCACCAAACAAACAGAACAAAGGCCTGCGGTTACATGTACTCTGTGCTTCAACAGAAGGGCTAGAGAGAAGGCAGGAGTGACACATGGCCTTCAGAGGGCATCCTGGTTTGGGGGTTGTAGGGCTGGGACCAGAAGACAGCTCAAAGAGGGGGTTCCTGTCTAACCAAACAGCAGGTGGGGAGAGGTCAACTCCACCTGACTATGGGGACAAAAGATGAGAGTGGCCCCAACCCCACGGCGTCTCCTGCCCATGCCCAAGATTGGCCTGTACCCTGGAGCTTGTCCACATAGCAGTAGACATCATAGGTCTCTGAAGATGGGCGCACGCCATAGGTTCTGACTCCCGGGGTGCTGTCCTTGTCACCCACACATGGGGTCCGTGGGCTCACAATGGGGTATCTGCAAAGGAAGAGGAAGCTTGTTCTAATTATGCAGAAGCAGGAGCGGGACCCCTGGGGGAACCTGAGTCCCAGAAGAGAGCAGCTGCAGGGAGGGTGCTGGGCATGGCTGGAGAGGAGCTGGGGGAATGAGGATGGGGGCTCTGAGGAAGGGGCTTTCTCTCTGCTCTCTTGGGGTAGTAGCTAAATTTTGTGTCACCCTGAGTCCCTTGCTGTCCTTCCAGAAATCGCCTGGGTTCTGGAATGAGGGCGACTAAGGAGTTGCTCTTGGCCAGTCTACAAGACACTGGTGCCTGCTGGGCCAGAGGGGCCAGGGAGGGGATCCCTCAAGCCAGGTCTCTGGAGGGTGGTTTCGGGCTCCTCGGTCACCTCACAGTCTGATCCTGCAGCCAGCCGGCATCACATTGTTCATAGCCAGCCTCGTAGGCAGCCTGCAGCTGCTCTGGGGAGGCCATGACTGCCCCCGTGCGCACACAGGCCTGCTGAGCCTCCTCGAAGGTCAGTGAGTAGCGGGAGGACCCCGGACGATAGTGGAACACAACCCCTGAGGAGGGAGAAGACAAGAGGAGAGCGAGGTGAGTCCAGGTGTCACTTCCTCCCAGAACCTCAGATCTGTCGGGCCAACTAGACACAACTCCCACATAGTGGCAGTATCTCCGCCTCTCTCTCGTGACGTGGACATGGACACAGCCTCACAGAGACCATGCCATAGGCCCATCCTATCCATAGACCCATCCATGTGTGGGCAGAGGCTAGCTCTGTGCCACGCACATCTAGGCCCGAAGACACGCACAAGGTGCTGGGGACACTACAGACCTAGGGCAGGGCTTGGGACTAGAAAGGGCTGGACAGGGGACACGCAGGCTCCAAAGGCTACCCTGTTACAGCATTCACACAGGGGACAGCCTTGTTCCAAAAACCCTGTCTGTGAAACTCTATGTGATATTAGTATCACAGCGTTCTGTGAACCTCTACCCTAGCTGTTGGGGACCTGAACCCACACTTAGCTCTCAGGCCAACTTAGAGCAGTGAGGCTTGGTTTGCTGCCTGCGAGCCGCAGGGTTCTGACCTTTGCAGCCAAGACTAAAAGTGGCTTCAAGTCACCCAGGCCTTCTCTGACTTGGTCCTGCAGTGGTGCCTGGGGGGAGTAGGCAGAAGTTCCCATTCATGCCATCTGCCTGACCTTCCCACCACTTCCCACAGTGAGCTCACAGTACTTCGTGTGGCTGTAAGGTGCCCCCTTCCCACTTCACAGCTGAAAAGCAGGTGAAGATGGAGCCTCCCGGCCCCCAAGGGCAGCCCCAGTGGAAAGACTTACCCCCTGGTGAGCGTGGCTGCCCAGGGACCACAGTTACACTGGGGGCAGCAGTCACTTGCACCACCAGGTCCTCGCTGGTGAAGGCCGTGGCAGCCCCCTCAGTCCTGTTCTCAGCACTGGGGAAGGCAGAGGCCCCAGTGTAGGGGACAAGTGTGAGGGGCTCCTCGGTCTCTGGGGCTTTTGGGGAGGTGTCCAGCTCAGGCTTGGCCGTGAGGATCGCGCTGCCGCGGGCTTCCCCCTCAGTGACATTTTGGGGCAGAAGCAGTTCCATGTCAGGCCAGGTCACCGTCTGGACTGTAATGTCTTCCTCACCGCCCACTCCAAAGAAGTTTTCTGGGATGTCCACAAAATCTTCACCTGGGAAGAGATGAATTTAGCTGCAACCACACGGTCTGGGCTAGTGCTGGGGACGAGCCCGTGGCAGGTCCTCACTTCTCCAGGTCCTACCCTGCCCGAGTGCCCGTGGAATGCCTAAAGTTGCAGGTGTTCCAGGTCAAAGGGACCTTGGCAGAGAGCCCACATGCTTTGTGTGTGTGCATGCCTGTGAGTGGCGCTACTTGTGCTGAGGCTGAGGAACATTTTTGCCTGCCAGGTGCAGACACAGCATCATGGACTACAGCTGGCTGCATCCCCACTCAGTCCTGTGGCTTCAAGGTGGGACCACCTGACTGAGGAGCATCTGGTCTAAATCCACTTGTCTGCAGACTCCACATTGGCCACCAGGGGTCGCAACCATCCAACACTATAATGCAAATGAGTTAACAAGGGGAACTATGGGGAACAGATGACAGGATGCTAAAGAGCTGCCTGCCTTGAGGCCATGACAAGCAAGGGTTATGATCATAGCTACACTGTGCTACATGTAAGACAAAGCACTTATTTTTTTTTAATCAGCCCAATTTTTAAAGCAAAGTCCTTGCTCAATGTTCCCCTCCTCTTTTGTGCCATTGTCTGGGCCGTTACAGTTTAACAAACAGATCATGAGGTGCCCAGCAGACTGGTGGAGGAACTGGGCCTGGAGCCTCGGCGGGAAAAATTCCAGAGGTCATGGCATTGCCGCTGGTGCTGCCTGTGCCAATTTTGAGTCTGTACCCAGGTCTGAAGGTACAGACTCTCTCCCCAGCTCCAAGCCCAGCTTACCTGTGTAGCAGATGGCATCATAGTGGGATGAGGGGTCGGGGTACCCGGTCTGGTTGGCGTGCAGGTACACAGTCCTGACGCCCAGGAGGTTGCCTCCACAGTTGGGCCGGGCCTTAGAGATGGGATAGCGCACACTGCGGTCGGCCAGCCAGCCAGCGCTGCACATGTCCATGCCGGCCTGCCAGGCCAGGTAGAGCTGGCCTGTGGTGGCCAGACGGGCACCTAGCCGCCGACACTCGCTGGCCGCCTCCTGGAAGGTGAACTTCTCTGGAGATGTGGCATAGAAGACCTCCCCTGTGAAGGACACAACAGCGGGTGAAGGTGTCTCCACTCCGCCTCTGACTACTCTGGATGCCCATGTCCCTGTCCCAGGTCCATTCTCTATCACTGCTGGGGTAGGATGAGGGCGACTTCAGGCCATAAACCAGGGGAGGTGTAAGGTGAACCAAGTGAAGCCAGGAAAACAGGCATGGGACTCTGTGGGCAGAAACTCAGCATCAGACCTCAGGGGGCCTGAGGAGGCCACAGGCCAAGTAGAGGCTGCAAACTGCCAAGGGACATTCATTTCCACAGAGCTGAGTGCAGCAGTCAGACTGGGGGGACAGTTCGTGAAGACAGATATGGTTGTCCTGTCCTCCTGGCCTCTGACAGATGGTGCGGGCCCTGAGGGAAAAGGCCAAAGCCGCTGTGGTGCTTATATTCCAGCTCTGGACAAGCCTCTCTGTGGCCTCAACTCCTGGGTCACCCAGGAGTGGCCTCTGAAGTGAGTAAGGCTTTGAAAACACAGTGGCCCTCAGGTCAAAGGTTAGTTGGCCAGAGTAGCCAGGATCCTGGCATGGAGTACAGACTCCAAGGCAGAGACTTGCTTCTGTGTGACACCAACTACAGATGGCCTCTGAGTCACCAAGGCCTCTCAAGTGGACAGTGAGGGGTCCCAACAAGAGGCCCTTTCCCACACAGCATGGCAGAGCCAGTTCAGTGTGTGGGCCTGAGCTTGTCCTGCCAGTAGGCCCAGGAAACCCTGGCATCAATGAGACACATAGTGGGTGTGGGAGGGGAGCACAGTCTCCCAGGGGGGAAGCCTCACCCTCCATCTCCTCTGCAAAGCAGTACACATCGTAGGTCTCATTTGTGTCCCGGATGCCGTAGGTCCTCACGCCAGGAAACTCATCCTTGTCTCCATAGCAACCTTCTCGGGGGGTGTGGATGGGGTACCTGACAGGATTCCAACATGGGGTGACACTCAGTCCAGGGGGATTCCTGGTCAGTGTTCTCCCAGGGAACACCTGACCACTGGCATGACAACTGGAGTCACCACAGAATAAAAAAAGCCTGGGCATGAACTTGGAGCAGAGGCAACCCCAGGACTCAGCCTGGAGTAGAGGCAACCCCAGGACTCAGCATGGAGCAGAGGCAACCCCAGGACTCAGCATGGAGCAGAGGCAGCCCCAGGACTCAGCCTGGAATAGAGGCAGCCCCAGGACTCAGCATGGAGTAGAGGCAGCCCCAGGACTCAGCCTGGAGTAGAGGCAGCCCCAGGACTCAGCATGCTTTGGTGCTAACCAGGCTTTTCAAGGCCCTGCAAACTTTTTCTACAAGTGACTAACAGTAGCCAACTGAGGTTTTGTCATAATGAGGACTACTGTCCCTTGGAGCAGCCACATTCCGCAACGAGTGCATAGAGGAAGTAATTAAAAGCGAAGTTCATTCTAGTAGAAAAGCTTTAAAAGCTATGCAACTGAATGTCTTCAAAAAGTTCGTTGAGGGCCCGGCGCGATGACGCAGTGGTTAAGGTCCTCGCCTTGCACGCCCAGGATCCCATATGGGCGCCGCTTCTAATCCTGGCAGCTCCACTTCCCATCCAGCTCCCTGCCTGTGGCCTGGGAAAGCAGTGGAGGACGGCCCAATGCTTTGGGACCCTGCACCCGCATGGGAGACCCGGAAGAGGCTCCTGGCTTCGGATTGGCTCAGCTCCAGCCGTTGAGGCCGCCTGGGGAGTGAATCATCGGATGGAAAATCTTCCTCTCTGTCTCTCCTCTCTGTATATCTGCCTTTCCAATAAAAATAAAATAAATCTTTAAAAAAAAGTTCGTTGAAATGCATATTATGAAAAACTAAGGGCCTGGTGCAGTAGCCCAGCAGCTAAAGTCCTCGCCTTGCACATGCCAGGATCCCATATGGTCACTGGTTCTAATCCTGGTGACTCCACTTCCCACCCAGCTCTCTGCTTGTGGCCTGGGAAAGCAATCAAGGAGGACCCAAAGCCTTGAGACTCTACACTTGTGTGGGATGCTCGGAAGAGGCTCTGGGCTCCTGGCTTCAGATTAGAGCAGTTCCAGTCATTGTAGCTGCTTGAGGAGTAAAAAACAAATGGAAGACCTTCCCCTCTGTCTCTCCTCCTCTCTGTATATCTGACTTTCCAATTAAAAAAAAAAAAAGAGCTAAGTATAAATTTCAGGATTATTTGCACCACAATCAAGCTTTCTCAGCAATGCAGCCTTATTAGCGGAGTGGAGGTAGGGCTGGATTTGCGCTATGTGTTAGCTTATTGTCTGCTGGGCCTTCCTGTAGCCCTTCATCTGCCTGATGAAGAGATGGCTGCAGTGACTTCACTCAAACTGGAAGAAATGGGGTCCAGAGATGTTCCAGGCCCTGCAGCTTCCAAGAGCCAGAGCTGAGATTTGAGTCCAGCTCTGTCCGAGGCCACAGTGTGGGTTCCTGGCCATACTGTTCCATTGTCTGCCTTTCTTTAAAGGCTTAGTGGTTTTGCACACTAGAGACTCCTTGTCCCTCCAAGACCACAAAGTTGCTTTCTGGGTTCTTCTTGAGGCACTGAGGCAGGGTCCCCCGCCACAAGCTGGCCCTCTCCCAAGGCACTGTGCCAAGATCCATCTAGGTTCTGGGCTCTAGCGGCCCTGCCCTCCGGTGTCCCCTGGGATGTCCAGAAGACAGATGTGAGTCTTAGTCTTACCCTTACTGGACACTGAAAAGGAGGGAAGGTGGATTACAAATGTATAAGACCACACCCAGGTTAAGACCAAGCAGCGAGTGAGGACCTGGCAGAGGGAAAACGGGGTTCAGCTACTGGTAGCTGCTGCTCCCACCATGGAGAGGATCGCTCTCTTCTTGGTCAGGTAGGTCTGCACTGGTCAAGGCTGGGTCCAGTCACCCTGCCCTCCATGGTGCCCCCAGCACGGTAGCAAGGCCCCTACCTGACAGTCTGGTCGGCCAGCCAGCCGGCGTCGCACTGGTGGAAGCCGTCCTCATAGGCAGCCTGCAGCTGCTCAGGGGTGGCGATGATGGCACTGTTCTGCAGACAGGCCCGCTGCGCCCTGTCGAAGTCGAGCGTGTAGCGTGTAGAGATGGCTCGGTAGTGGAATACGATACCTGGCAACATGGACAGGTGTGCAGCTGAGGCCCCTGCACTGAGGTCACAGCCCCAGGTGACCCTGCCTTGACCAGACTGGGATATTCTCCCAGTAACCAGGCCCCCACTGCATCTTTGAATATTGGGGTCACTCTGAGAGTCATAGGGTCTCTGGCTGAGATGCCATTTGGGAAGCCTGTGTCACACAGCGTGGTGCCAGAGCCAGGTTCTGGCTGCACCTGTGGTCTAGCTTCCTGCTAATGTGCTGCAGAGGGCAGCAGGTGACAACTCAAGCCCCCACACAGGAGACCTGGAGGGAATTCCTGGCTCCTTGATGCTGGCTTGGCCTGTTGTGGACATCTGGAGAGTGAACCAGTGGATGGAGGTTTTCTCTCCATCTTTCAAACAAATGAATACATAGATGGTGTCTATATCATAAAAAGGGGGAAAAGCTTTGAATTAAACTCGGATTTTGTGTTTGCCATTTCAGGACCTCAGGTGTCTTTGGGTAAAGAGACACTTGGCACTGCAGGCCCCTGTGCCAGGCTCTCTGGTGAGAGCTGTGTAAGACGTGGGAGACAAACCACTTCTGGGTCCCTGGGAACCTATTGCTCATGAGACTGGAGGCCAGTCCAAGACCATAGTGATAACAGGCCCTGGGAGATGTCAGTCCTTTCCATGGTTTCTGGGATAGGCATGGGGCTCAATGGGGAAGTACCTGAAGAAGAGGGAAAGTTCCTTAGCCTCAGTTTGCTGATGTGCAAAATGGACATGAACATAGAACCAAATGATGCTTGGGGCAGCAACTCCACTTACAGAGGAGGTAGCTGATGTCCACCCTCGAGGCAAGTGCATGTGGGCTGCCATGCAGGAAAAGGGCTGGGATGGAACCCTCGCCCCTGCAGTTGAGGCACTACCTGAGGGATGGGCACCCTGCATCCCTGCAGGCAAGAGGCAACCCTGAGAGAGGCATCCCCATGATCCCTACGGACTGTGGTGGGGCCCTGTGGGTCTCTCACCTTTGACCACGACCTCCAGGGTGGCCTCACTGTCCTCCAGGCCATGCATGACTTCACAGCGGTAGATGCCAGAGTCATTGGAACGCAGGCTTTGCACCTCCAGGGTGGCATCGCTGGGGATGGCCGGGTAGTTGGGCAGCGAGACTCTGTCCTGGTAGGCGCTGTTGACCCGTACACGCCCCTCAGTAGCCACCAGCAGCACCACCTCCTTGTCCCGGGACACTCGACTCCACTTGATTCTCGGGGCGAGGGGGGCCGTGGAGGGGGCAGTGGTCACAGGATGCAGGGGGTCAAGAAAGTAGCAGGGGATAGTCAGCGAGGTCCCCAGGAGGGCTTTCAGTGGGGATGGCTGGGGGATGCTGACACTCAGCGCACTGCCGGGGTCTGTGGAGTAGGAGAGCATCTGTGAGTGCCTAGCGGACCCAGGGGCAGAACCCAAGACCCCCCAGCCTGGAGTGGAGACTGTGGGCCAGGAAGGTTCCTGGGGATGCCAAACCCTGGGCCAAAGGAACCCATCTTCCTGGAGGTGCAGACTGGCTCAAAGACTCTGGAGCAAAACATAATCAGTGGGAACAAGAAGCCACACAATTTTTAAAGCTAAGACAAAACTCTCCATGCCGTGTCCCTCCTGGGGGAAATCTGCTGCAGCTCTGGCCTGGTCTTGCAGGGCAGTCAGCAGGCAGCAGGGTGGGATAACCACACACACTTCCCAGAGCACAGCCTCTCCACAGCTGACCCAGATTCCTGTGGGAGGACAGGTGCCTCCTCTACCTGCAGGTACCAGGAACCTTTGGCTCCAGCCCAGCCTTAGATGTCTGCACAGTCCACCCCATTCTGGTCTCTGGCACTGGCAGGAACGACAGCCACCGGCCCTGAGCCACCCCAGGGTGGAAACTACCCTAAGGGGGTTCCAGAGCAGCAGTGTGCACACCGGAGGCACAGCCCAGGTCCACAGCTACTGGGTAACTAGGCCTGGCCTTCCCACATGACAATGAAGCCAGGAAAATCCGGTTCAGGTAATGAAGCCTTGGATTCCTTGGAGCTATGCACTGGGCCTGTACACCAACTCCACACTGTGAGTACAGCCATGGCTTCACCTTCCACTCTGCCTGGTGCCCATGAGAGCAGCTGGGGCCCTGCCCTCTCTCAGTCCTGCGTGTGGACCCTGCAGAACTGGAAAGCAGCCAGACCCTGGTCGGGTTGTCAGCACCACCTGGGAAATGGGGCCTGCATGGAGACACACTTACCTAAGACGTCCCCAGAGTCAGCAGCTGTGGTGACACACAGAGCCATGAGCATTAGGAGCAGAGTGGCCATCATTCACCTGGAAGAGGGCATGCAGGACATCACTGGGTGTCCCAGCTCGGAGTCATGTCCTGACACAGGCTGTTGGTGGCCTGGGGAACATTGTCCCTGGACCCCCCTCTTACAGACCCTAGGCAGACCCCTCTCTGCAGACCTGCACTGGCCTATACCAAGTGTCCCTGTGCCAAGAGATGCCCACCCAGCATGGGTGGGCCTTTCCTGGTCAGCTACAGGCTGACCCTGCTGACCAGAAGTGGTGCCTTCTGCCTGGTGGCTGGGGAGCCAGGACACTGTTCCTCCTATCAGACTCAAACTGACATAGCAGCTTACCGGTGTCTCAAGCTGTTTGGCCACTGGGGCCCCTGGTCCTTTGCATGGGACCAGAGCCCCATCCACAGCCACCTGGGCCCCCTTTGCTGCCCTCTGCCAGTGCTCTGTCTCGCCCACTAGACTTTGCAAGCACAGCCTGCTTTAGGATGAGCTACACGCCCAGATGTCAGTTACGACACAGCAGCCTGTGGCACATTCCTGGGGGGAGCACCAAGATGGCACAGGTCCCCACAGACATGGGACAAAGGGCAGCCCCCAACACAGACCCAGATGGACAGCCCAGGTGGCTTTCCTGGGCTCAGCCTGGACTATGGAGACTTGAAGAGCACTCCTGAAGGAACTAATGTCCCACCATGTGCAGTTACAGTGTGGACGCTGTAGAAGCTAGCTGGCCTCCAGGAGGGCCCGTCACTATAGGACTAAGGAGTGTCAGAAGGAAGGGGGCTGACGGCCCAGCAGGTAACAAGGGATCCACTGCTGGGGGGCACCTAGGGGTGGTCAGCAGCCCAGGACAGGGCCTGCATGAGAGCCACATGCACAGAGGTGCCATATGCGTTGCCAGCCATGACGCCAGGCCTACACTGGCTGCAGTTCTGGTCCCTGGCCGCCCACAGAGGTCCTGCCTCAGGTTGGCCTCCTGCTGGCCCCGGGTCTGGGGCCCCTCCCTTTGCAGGGGCTCCCACACAGACACTAGTTGGCCTGTACTCGGCTCAGGCGCCCTCTCTGGGAGTGTCCCTGTTTGTTTTCTGAGCCATGCCTGCCCTCTCCCCCTGAACAAGCTGGACATTGTCTGAGGCACAGCCATCCTCCAGGGGCCTTGGTCTGGTTTGCTCCCTGGCCAAGACCAAGAAACAGGAAGGGATGAGAAAGGGAGCCATGTGGGTGCAAGGGCAGACACTGATTCCCCTTCTCCTGTGTTCAAGACAAACTTTGGGTAGAAACAGGGCAACAAATGTGCCCCTGTGTTGGGTTCTCTGCCGTAAAGAAAACAGGGGGAAATTCCACTCTCTGCGTTCCAAGTTCTCTGGGGCTCCCTAAGTCCCTCATGAGGAGACGGACTTGGCCAGCCCAAGACAGTCAGCATTACCCTCAGCCATGGAGAGCTGGGGCACAGGGAGAGGGGACAGGGAAAGGTAAAGCGGGGGCAGCGGGGAGCAGGTAGAGCCCAAGGTGGGATCGTGCTTGGGGGCGGACAGGTCAGTGTCTATTAAGAACACATCTTCGGTGATTTGAGAGGCAGAGGGAGGAAGATGAACTCCTATTTGCTGGCTCACTGCCCAGACATGCACAGCAACCTGGGCTGGGCTGGGCTGGGCTGGAGCCAGGCTGGAGCTGGGCTGGAGCTGGGCTGGGCTGGGCTGGGCTGGGCTGGGCTGGAGCCAGGCTGGAGCCAGGCTGGAGCCGGGCTGGAGCTGGGCTGGGCTGGGCTGGAGCCGGGCTGGAGCCGGGCTGGAGCCGGGAGCCTGGAGCTCACCCCAGGTCAGCCACTGCCTGAAGCCTCCCAGGATGCACACGAGCAGGCAGCTGGATTTGGGCAGAACCCGAACCCAGGCCCTTTGGAACTGAATGTAGATGCCTTTGTCCAAGGCCATTCCCACCTCACACCCTGGGGCTCTGCACCTGAGCTGAGACTGTGTGTGCGCATGTGAGTTCATGGCTGGAGACAAGGAAACCATCACGTCAAGAGGCTACATTGCCTGCCTGGCCTCGACCCCCAACCTGCTCCCCCAAGTTCCTCCTGCAGCCACAGGTTCAACAGAGACCTCAGATCCAGGCCTACTTCCAGCTCTTACCTCTGGGCCTGGAAGGTGTCCACCAGCTCTGTTCTCCCAACTGCCTGCCTGTGCCTCTCAGATCCGGTGGCCAGGGCAGCTCCCTGCCCCGTGAGTTCCCTCAGGGTCAGAACTGCCTGTGATTCACACCTGGAAACAGTGGAGGGGATGGGGGTGGGTGATTGCATCTTTGGTCATTACCAGGATTCTGGCCTCATTACACATCCCCTTCCCCACCTCCTCCGAAGTTTTGCCATTTTAGCTTCCCACCAAGGGTCCTCAGCCCTGCCAAGTGACAGGTGCTCCTGCCCTCCAAGGTGGCTCTGCCCACTGGGCAACTCTAGAGTTGCCCAAGATCACTGCATGGCATCCAGTGATCCCCTCCCTCCCTGGTTCCTGCCACCACACAAGGTACCCTCCCATGGGTGAGCCCAGGCTGTTCTGAGTCCCCCTAGGCCTGCCAATGCACCCTTTACTGTGAGCCACGTCTCTAGGGCTCATTCCTCTGAGGCAGAAAGAGATGAGGGCTTCATTTGGGATCAAACAGTCTAGTCTGCTGGAGGGGGCTCCAGAATGGGAGCCACTTCGGGGTCTGGCCCTTGGGGCAAGCTTCAGGAGGCAGCACCTGTGTGTGCCTCACCCCAGCAGCCTCCTGATGCCCAGGGCAAGACCCAGACCAGAGAGAGGACGACAGGGATGAAGGAGTGAGACAGACACTCAGAGCGTGAACATTCTTGGCTCTGAGTGGGCAGACCACTATATCTCACACATCCTACAAACCTCACAGGACAGGCATGCTGCTCAGGGTCCATGTGGGGTGACAGCTATACTGCCATCCAGCATGGCCCTGTTCCCTGTGAGCTGCCCTGCCCAGGGCTCTAGGCACAGCCAATCCCAGGTCAGTGACGTGATTGTGACGGTGGGAGTCAGTCACAGTGGCAGTGCTCACAGCAGGCCAGGTGAGGGCTTCCTCTCTTTCCCTCCTTCTGAGTTAACAGATAAAGACCATGGTGCTTCCCTATTCCAATCTACTAAGGCTTCCTTCTGCAGTCACCGCTCTGCCTCATGCACATCCCTGCAGCTTTGAAACCAAGGCCACTGCCAGCCCAAGGGCAGAGCTGGCCATGTTTATCTCAGAGTCACACTCTGCAGCCCGGCCTGCATGTCGCATCCGTGCAGACTTGGAACATGCATGTCAGACATGACCTCTCACTCCCAACTCCTTGCTCCATCAATGTGGGCTCAGAATACACATGCTGGATGTCACCTCTCCCTGACTCCTCTGCTTCCCAGCTCTGGGTAGCATCAAAGACCCAGGAAGGAGACTGGTTGGGAGCTCTCACTGGGTCTTCTCCTGGAAGACCTGCGGCTACCCAGTAAGGAGTAGTAGGGCCCTGGAGGCAGAAGCTGGGAACAAAACAGCTACAACCAGAAACATTAGAGCCCTGGGACCCCTCCTACCAGGCACTAGAGTGACTGAGAATTCCTGGGAAAGCCAGGTCGAGATGAGCAGCATTCCCCAGGGACATTCGCCTCTGCCTGGCGTAAGTGGAAGCTGCCCCTTCCTGTTCTCAGCCACTGCCCAGCCCAGGCCCTTGTACACTTTCTCTGCATTAATTTCAGACCTTGAGTAAACAGCAGACCTGGGCTTGGGGAAGCCGTGTCCTTCGACCGAAACTCTTCATCAGGCTGGGTTCTTGAGCCAAGAGCAGACGGCTCGGCAATTCAGGGCAGCCCTGCCAAGCCAGCTCAGGACAGGGCTGGGGACCTGTGGTCATCCTCTGTGGCTCTTGATGGGCTTCAGAATCATCCTGTGCATTTCTGGTAGAAACTCCAGCCTCCAGCTAACTCTCAGGCAAAGCAGAGGCCCAGAGTCCTGGGAAGTGACCTGGAGGAGACTCCCAGCTCCTGGGGTTTGGCCCCCGGACCTGGTCAAGGGTGAGGATGCAAATGAGCTCCTGGGGTGTCAAATCCGCTTCTCTGGGCTTCTTGTGTATCTCCAACTCCAAGGCCAGGAGAGACTTCCCAGAGGACAACCGCCCACTCATCAGGCACCAGGGAGACGGTGTATCTCCCGGGCAGCTTTGTGAATGGAAGGGCCTATTTTGTCCCCAGAAAGGGCCACCCCAATCCAGGCCCTGAGGGTAATGCCATCTGAGGGATCACAGCTCACGGGGGCCTCATCTATACCAACAATGGCAGCTGGGGAAAGGGGAGTCTGGCCCAGGCCTGGAGGGTAGGAGATGGACGCCAGCCAGGTCCCCAAGACCTCAATGGCACTTTTAGACAGTGTCCTGCCAGTATGGCTGTTTGCTGACCAAGTGGGGGTGGATAAGGTCCCCTTGCCCTAGGGCACCCTGTAATGCTCCTTCTCGTGAGTCCCTCCAAGCCTCCCAGACAAGAGTCACCACCTGTCACCCAGTACAGGACAGCTACTTTGCCATACCTGGACCAATTCTGATAGCCCCATGGGCAGGCACTGGGAAGGTTCCCAGGGTTTAAGGAGTGGCTTGGAGGTGTTGGCCTCTACTATCCAGCTATTCCTTTGAGCTGCAGCCCCTGACTGGGTCTGCCACGCTGTGTTCATCCTCCACAGGACCCTTTGCTGAGGCTCAGAGCCTGGTTAGAGCTCGATGTATCCATCGCCTCCTCCAAAGTCCACAGCCATCCTGGGGAGGGCACATGCTACAAGTCCTCGTTCAAAATTGGGGAATGCAGGCTCCAGGAAGTGAACCTGGCAGAGCCTGAGCTCACACCTGTGGGCCAGCTTCAGCCTCAGGCTCAAGGCGGGACCTGGGCCCCTGGACCAGTGAGCAGGATCTGCTATGAAAGACCCCAGCACATTGGGATGTGGGCTGAAGGCTCAGACCCCAGAGGGCCAGGGGCTTGCTCTTGGAGCCCCTCCCACCT